CATCAGTTAAATGTAAAGCAGTGTTAGTGCGCATTTTTCTGTGCAGTACAAATATTCCTCTGCAATACTTTTGCAGCAGAGAGAACAAGAAAGAAAAACTTTTCGGTTCAACTTCTATCTTTGCTTTGCTTCTGTTCAGCATTCTGAAAATAAACCCAGCAAAATCAAGTTACACTAACAAGCTTCTATCTGCATCCGCAACCATTGACATGACACTTAAATATTTTGAAACCCTCTGTTGGAGGACAATGCTATGTAAAATATAGAATTACATACCTGATCGGAGATATTCTTTTAGGTTTTCGTTAAGCATGTACTTGTATATAAGTGCCAACTTGTCGATATCATCACAGTATCCAATAAATGAGGCCAAGTTTCTATGATGGATTCTCTTCAGGAGCTCAACCTGCAGCCACAAGGAACTCATCAATCTCTAACCAACGAGACGAGGCATTTAACTTGCATTCCAAGGAATTAAATTCAAACTGTCAAACCTCTGTTTGGAACTCCCTAGCTGAGCTAGCTCCTTGAGATGACGATGTAGAACCACATCTTGAGTGCCGTATTTCAACTATCCATGGTACAATCCCAAATCCCCCTTTCCCGATTTCAGTTTTAAAGTTTTTGGTGATTTCTAAAACCTCATCATAAGTGAACTAGAACTTCTGAAGCTACAGGAGTTTTGTTACGTTTTCTCCATTTGCAGCTTAAGTAGACAAAAAGATATGTGTTCAGACTAACTGGTCAGAAATACTACTGCACCATAGTAGGAGCGCCGGTTCTAACTGAATAAGTATCAAAGGTATAAAATGGTACCTGGTTTTCTTATTCTTCTCAGCTTCCATACCAGTATGAGCACTATAACTAGGAGGAGAGGCCACTGCTGACAGTAATGATCCAAGTATTGGAACAACCATGTTCTCCTTGCACTTGATTGAATCTGAACTAAAACAGGACTTATAAGCACATCGAAAATCTGAAGGACACAATACCATTAGCTTTCATTAAAGAAAATGCTAACCTATTCGGTGCTCTCCATGAACGAAACTTGCACAGAGCAGTAGGACGAGGAAACCAGTTGAGATCTTCTTCTCTCTTTGTCTCACTGCAGCCTATGAACTACCTGGTATTTAAAACGCGTGACAATGTTCCGACCAAAAAAGCAGAAAAACGTATGTGACAGTGTGGATTTGTACCTCATGCTGCACAACTTTACATGAAACATGATCCTTATCACACGGAGATGCTCAGTCTACATCAATCAATGGATCATGCAATGTTCATACTAAGAGAGCAATTTGGTTAAGCCAACGTATTTTCTAGTCAAAACATTTCAAGCATTGTTCCAAATTGATTAAGTAGAGGACAATATCGATATATATTAGTATTTAGCCTACGCTGATTCACTACACAACAGATCCCACACCCATTTTTAACCCATCAAGTTTTGAACATGGAATGAATGAGATAGTTTGTAGGAACCAGCAAAGGTAAAGCCTAAATAGCTACCTAGCATGTTGCTGTCATTGAACCTGCATTTGTGGAATCTGAACCAATGGAAATCACTCTAGGTGAACTCTGGCATGGTGAAATTGTAACACAAGTTTCTTCATTTGAGCCTGGAGTTCTTTGTCGATGCCTAGAGACCTTTATTCCATACATTGTGTTAGTTGGCACAGCACAGAACCCATGGTGGTTATATGTTGGCACGTGAAAGTTGTGCATGCCATTGCTGTCTCTAAAGCTTTCCAGGCCGAATTCACATCCAACGCTCCTCGAATCATTTGATACAAAATCGTTGTTAAATCCCATTCTGGAACTCAGGGTTCACCCACTGCACTATGTGGACAAGATCATCAATTTCTATGATTGCAGGTTGGCCAGTAAAACTCTCAAAATCAATTTTTTTCATTCTACCTTCGACAATTATAGTACCTGCAGACCAAAAAAAAGTAATATCAAACCACTCACTGTTCATGCATTTGTATTTATAACATGATAAAAAAAATCTAATAGAACGCAGAAACTTGAACATACTCTAGATCAAGATAACCCACTCTGCCCATGACCGACGTTACCACACAAGTCTCATTATCACTGAAAACAACCCTGGACAGACCGAAATCTTCTATTTACGCGTCCAAGCTTTTATTGCACTGCGCTTGCTCCTCTCTTAATGCAATTCTCCTACTGGATTCCCTTCTTAAGTGAGCTGAAATACAAATCCAATTTATCTGTGTTTAAAGTATTCTAGATAACTCGACCTGATTTTATTCAAGGATGAAAGATTGAAGAAAGAAGTTACATATTGACTAAACAGATTACCTTCTAAAAAATTGGTCTAAGAAAACTGTGTTAGTTGAGAGAACCTGCACACAGTGAGAAGAAACACAACCTTGTACAAAAGTGTATCTCAACATATGGAAATCACTCTAGGTGAACTCTGGCATGGTGAAATCGTAACACGAGTTTCTTCATTTGAGCCTGGCGTTCTTTCTCGACACTTAGACACCTTCATTCCAAACACTTCCAAACGAGATAGAGAGTGCAGCCCCTTGGGCAAATATTGTAATTTCCCACATTTATATAATTCCAAATGAGATAGAGATTGCAAGCTGGAGACATTGTGATCCGGCAGAGATATCAAATTGGAGCATTCACTGACACGCAAATCGGTAGACTTATTAATCCATCACATCCCCTAATTATCAACTCAGTGAGGGAGGTGGGAATAGCCTCTAGATTAGGGTAAAAATATATATCCATCTTCTGAAGAGAGACGGGGGTTTGTAGCCCGTGACCCGACAAAGTCCTCAAATTTGGACAATTACAGATCTGCAGTGTGCAAAGACTAGTTCAAGAATGGAGCCCACGTATACTTGCGAATCCATCGCAGTGTTCAATAGACAATCAGCGGAGGGATGTGCAACCCTTTAAAGACAAGTCCCCCTCGAGAGTAGTGCATCTCTCAAAAACCAGATCATGAAGTGAGGCAGACTCTGAAGTACGTCTTAGCTTTGGGCAATCAATTATTTTCAACTCCTGAAGAGATTGGGATGGTGAAATTTGGAAGGATTCTAGATTGCCGCAATCCTCAATTTCCACCGTCTCAAGTGAGGGGCAATATTCTAACCCACAACACAAGCTCGACAATTTCTCACAGCTCCTAATTCTCAATTGATGGAGATTGGTTACTCGACAATTTCTCATCATTCAAGATGCAAATTTAGTACCCTTGAATTCCTCAATCGTCAAGCTTTCTAAGTTGGGGTGCGGTTGGAATCCTTCAAGAATATCCTCGTCAAGAAAATTGCCATTTCTTTCTTTAGGAGGGACCCGCCCCCATTTTAATATCAATTTTCGTAGGTTTGCCTTTTCCACTAATTTTGATTTCACTGCTTCTTCCTTGTCTCTCACATATTCTAATGCTCCAATAACTAGTTCCCCTTTCAATTCATTTAACCTGCCCAACTCATCAATTCTATGACGCCTTGCTCTTTCCAATTTAAATGAAGGTAGCGTCTGCAGATGAGTCAATCTTGTCATCCCAAATGGAACTTCCACATCCTCGTCGAAATAAACATGTCTGAAGTTGATCAAATTTTCCATTTCCTTAGGAAACGTCTTAAGACTATATGTTCTTGACATTTTTAACGTCTGAAGATTATAGAGCTTGCCAATAGATTTTGGGAGTTTTTTTACTTTTGTCCTTTAAATGTTGAGATACCTTAATCGTTTCAACTTTCCAATTGAATTGGGCAACTCCTCAATTTCAACATGGAAAAAATTCAACATCTGTAAACCTTTAAACCTTTGAAAGATGTTTTAACGAAATATTCCCGGTACTATTCACTTTTGACGAAAAATCACATTTTTACCGTTCCTTGATATTGTTCACTACACCTTTATTTGTCATTTTTCATTCAAACTATTTTTTTTTTTTAACTTTTCATTAGTTTTCCTTTGAAAAATAAATAAATAAATATGGCATCAGTCATACAAAGTCAAGCTTTCTAAACCTCTTTTATGGACAGATACGGATTTCACGGTTCGAAGCTCAATCAACAAGTAATATGGACCACTCAAATTGAATTCAATAGTACTAATTAACTCATTTGCTGCCTCACCTTACATAATCTAAAGACTTCAATGTCTCTTTCACACAAAGGGCCCAAATTTTCTGGTCCTTAAGCTCTGAATACTAATGTCAGGAGGGGATCCAAATTCCTGTTTATTATCCATCTGTCAAATTGTCAACTGTTTGCTTTAGCTTGTTGTCCTAGTTTCTCTCTTCCTCATCCTCCTCTAGCTAGCTTTTGGACTCCGGCATCCGAATCACATGTCCATGCGGCCCTAGACACATTAAAGCTTACCTACTCAATGTAATGACTCCATTCCCCTCTCCAACTACCTTCATGGCCCAACACCTCCAGAGGTTTCAAACGAAAGAATTTCTAGGTTCTTGTGTCCGAAACCCCAGCTAAGTTTAATAGACGAGGGGTGGGAACATAATATCTTGTATCGTGGGCCTCACAATCATGGAGATATAGTGCTTTTTAGTGTCCAAGCCATATGAATTAGGTGGTCCGGTTGCTCTAAACTAGAATTTTATCCTCAATTTGACAAATTAACAATGGCTAATTGGCTATGCGTCTCCCTCTCTATGTTGTTAATAGTGTCGATATTGTCCCATCACATCAATTGAAGAAAAACCCCTATCAGGAATAATATGTATTAACAAAACATGATGCTTTATTTGAGAATTTATTTGAGAATCATAGCCTTTGGATGAGTTCACGATAGATAAATACCACAAAGTATAGATAGTCAAAGTTCAAACATTATTGACGGATGGTGAATGTGAACGATAATTCAAGAGTAGTGAGAAAGATGATTGGTATTAAGTCTTTGGTCACTATTATCTTGAAAGTTGATGACCAAAATGACAACTGCCTCCTTCTTTTGGCTGCAACAGCAGAAATAGGATGCTTACATGGAACCTGCATTTGTGGAATATGAACATCTGGAAATTACTCCGGGTGAACTCGTAACACGAGTTTCTTCATTTGAGCATGGAGCTCTTTCTCGATGCCTAGATGTACACCTCCATTTCCAAACACTCTGTTAACGCACAGCACAAAACTCTCTGCTGAGAGGTGGAAGTTGTGCATGCAATTGCTGTCTCTAATGGTTTCCAGAACGAATTCACGTCAAACTCTCCTCAAATCTTTCGATCTCAAAACCCCGTTCTGGAACTCAGGAATCAGGATTCACCAACTCCACTATGTAGAGAAGATCATCATTTTCTATGATTGCAAGTTGGCCAGTAAAACTCTAAACATCAATTTTTTTCAGTCAACCTTTGATAATTATAGTACCTGCAGATCAAATAAAGTAATCATAGATCATTCACTGCTCATAGATTTGTTTGTTTTTTTAAATCAAAATTCTAAGAACACGAAATCTGAACATACTCAAGATCAAGATACCCCGCTGTACTCATGGCCGATGTCACCACGAGTCTCACTGTCACTGGGAAATGCCATGGACAGACCGAAATCTGCTATTTTTGCTCCAAGTTTTCACTTAAGAGAATGTTGGCAGTATTTACATCTCTATGCACAGTACGTGGATTGCACCTTTATGCAAGTAAATAGTCCTGTGAGCCAAATTTCACAATATACATATGTTGAATTAGGCATATGAACTTGCACAATTATATTAGCGTACGAAATAACACAACGCACCAACCTATAGGCAATATCTAGTGTTATCCGAAGTCTCATTTCCCAAGTCACATGTGAGCTTCTATCTGCATGCAGCCATTGACGTGACACTTCAATATTTTGAAACCCTCTGATGGAGGACAATGCTTATAAAATATAGATCTACATACCTGAGAGATATTCTTTTAGGTTTCCTTTAGGAATGTACTCGTATGTAATATAAGTACCAAGTAATCGGTATCAACACAGTATCCAATAAATGAGGCCAAGTTTCTATGATGTATTCTCATCAGGAGCTCAACCTGCAGCGACAAGGAACTCATCAATCTCTAACCAACGAGACAAGGCACTTGCAATTCCAAGGAATTAAAATCCTAACTGTCAAACCTCTGTTTGGAATCCCCTAGCTCCTTGAGTTGACGATGGAGAAAGTATTTTAACCGCAACTTGAGTGCCATCTTCCAAGTAGCCATGGTATACAATCCCAAATCCTCATTTCCCAATTTCAGTTTGAAAGTTTTCGGTGATTTTTAAAACCTCATCACAAGTAAACTGGGACTTCATTGATGCTACCGGTGTGCTACAGGTGTTTTGTTATGTTTTTCTCCATCTGCAGCTTAAGGACAAAAAGTTATGAGTTCAGACTAACTGGATAGGAATACCACTACGCCTTAGTAGCAGTGCCGTTTCTAACTAAATAAGTATCAAGGTTATAAAATGGTACCTGGTTTTCTTATTCTTCTCAGCTTCCAGACCAGTAAGAGCACTACAACTTGAAGGAGGGCCATTGTTGAAAGTAATGATCCAAGTATTGGAACAACAATGTTCTTCTTGCACTTGCTTGAATCTGAGCTAAAAAGAACTTATCAGCAGATAGAAAATATAAATCTGAAGGACGCAATACCGTTCGCTTTCGTTAAAGAAAATGCTAACCTACTCAGCACTCTCCATGAATGAAACTTGCACATAGCAGTACGACGAGGAAACCAGTTGAGATCTTCACCTCTCTGTCTCATTGCAGCCTGTGAACTACCTGGTATTTAAAATGTGTGACAATGTCCTGACCAAAAAAACAGAAAAACGTATATGACGGTGTGGATTTGAAACCTCATGCTGCACAACTTGCAGAGTACATACAAGATCCTTATTACATGGGGATGCTTAGTCTACCCCAATCAATGGATCATGCAATGTTCATACTAAGAGAGCAATTTGGTCAAGCCAACGCATTTTCTAGTCAAAGCATTTAAAACATTGTTCCTATTAGGGTTATGTGGTGTGATACAAGTCAGGGAGACAACCCGAAGTATTAGACAAAAGTGATTAAGTCGAGGACAAAATAGATGCATACTTGTATTTAGCCTACACTGATTCACTGCACAACAGATCCCACACCCATTTTTAACCGACCAAGTTTTGAACATGGGATGAATGAGAGAGTTTGAGGCTACCTAGCATGGTGCTGTCATGGAACCTGCATTTGTGGAATTTGAACATCTGGAAATCACTCTAGGTGAACTCTGGGGTGGTGAGATCATAACACGAGTTTCTTCATTTGAGCCTGGAGTTCTTTCTCGATGCTTAGACACCTCCATTCCATACATTTTGTTAGTTGGCACAGCACAAAACCAACCATGGTGGCTCTATGTTGGGAGGTGGAAGTTGTGCAAGCCATTGCTGTCTTTAATGGTTTCCTGACCGAATTCACATCGAAATTTATATGAATCGTTCGATGCAAATTAGTTGTTAAATCACCATTCTGGAACTCAGGATTCACCCACTCCACGATGTGGACAAGATCATCACTTTCTATGATTGCAGCCTTGCAGGTTAGCCAGTAAAACTCTAAAATTCAACCCTTGATAATTATAGTACCTACAGACAATAAAAAGTAATCATAAATAAACCACTCACTGTTCATACATTTGTATTTATAACATGATAAAAAATCTAATAGAACATGGAAATTTGAACATACTCGGGATCAAGATAACCCGCTCTGCCCATGACTGATGTCACCACACTAGTCCCATTATCACTCGAAAAAACCACAGACAGACCAAAACCTGCTATTTTCGCGTCCAAGTTTTTGTTGTACTGTGCTTGCTCTCCTCTCTTAATGCAATTCTCATATTTGATTCCCTTCTTAAGTGTAGCTGAAATACAAATCCAATTTATCTGTGATTAACATATTCTAGATAACTCGACATGATTTTATTCAAGGATGAAAGATTGAAGAAAGAAGGTGCATATTGACGATACAGATTACCTTACACAAAATTGGTCTCAGAAAAGTGTATCTGCACCATAACACCATGTGGAACATGTCTTAGAACATATTTGAATGCACATTGGATGTTAAAACATATACAGAATGACCACGGATTCGTAAACAGTTGCAAATGTACTTCTATTTACTCATATTTAAGGACTAAAAAGCTTAATTTCCACAAAAGTCTTAAGTGCTGTTCCAAAAAGATTGTGAAAGCAAAGAAATTAATGTTCTTCCACGAGGCTAGAAAATGTATGATTTTGCAAACTAAATGCAACTAAGACAAGAGAACAGAACCAATCACGAATTACTGTTTCGGGAAAGAAATCTACACTTGACAGTTGGAAATGCGAGAAATCTTGGGCCAGTCAAGCAGGGTGCTTCTTTTAATTTAGAACACAACAGTAAAATTTGAACTGGCTTCCCTACTGTCAATAGATACTCCAGGTTCCCACAACGGTGAGTAGATAGATCATCGACACATGAAAGGTTCCGTCATCACTCTGGTAAGACCCTTCTGAATCATCAAGTGCCATTGTTGATAGTAATGATCCAAGTATTGGAACAACAATATTCTTCTTAAGCTTGCTTGAATCTGATCTAAAAATAACTTATCAGCAGATAGAAAATATAAATCTGAAGGACGCAATGCCATTCGCTTTTGTTAAAGGAAATGCTAACCTATCGGGCACTCTCCATGAACAAAACTTGCACAGAGCAGTAGGACGAGGAAACCAGTTGAGATCTTCATCTCTCTGTCTCATTGCAGCCTATGAACTACCAGGTATTTAAAACGCGTGACAATGTCCCAACCAAAAAAACAGAAAAAACGTATATGAGTGTGGATTTGTAACCTCATGCTGCACAATGATCCTTATCACATGGGGATGCTTAGTGTACGTCAATCAATGGATAATGCAATGTTCATACTAGAGCAATTTGGTCAAGTCTAACATATTTTCTAGTCAAAGCATTTCAAACAATGTTACTGTTAGGGTTATGTGCTGTGATACAACCCGAAGTATTGGACAAAAGTGATTGAGTTGAGGACAATATAGATACATACTAGTATGTAGCCTACACTGATTCACTGCATAAAAGATCCCAAACCCATTTTTAACCCACCAAGTTTTGAACATGGGATGAATGAGAGTTTGTAGCTCCCTAGCATGGTGCAGTCATGGAACCTGCATTTGTGGAATCTGAACGTCTGGAAATCACTCTAGGTGAACTATGGTATGGTGAAATCGTAACACGAGTTTATTCATTTGAGCCTGGAGTTCTTTTTGGATGCCTAGGCACCTCCATTTCCAAACGTTGTGTTAGTTGACTTGACACGGCACAAAACCCATGCTGCAGACCAAAAAAAGTAATCATAAACCACTAACTGTTCTTACATTTGTATTCATAACATGATAAAAATCTAAAGGAACAAGGAAATTTGAACATACTCTGGATCAAGATAACCTGCTGTGCCCATGACTGATGTCACCACACGAGTCCCATTATCACTGGAAAAAACCATGGACATACTGAAATTTGCTATTTTCGCATCCAAGTTTTCGTTGCGCTGGGATCGCCTCCTCTCTTAATGCAATTCTCTTACTGGATTCCCTTCTTAAGTAAGCTGAAATACAAATCCAATTTATCTGTGATTAACGTATTTTACATAACTTGACATGATTTTATTGGAGGATGAAAGATGGAAGAAAGAAGCTCCATGTTAACTAAACAGATTACTTTCCATAAAATTGGTCTAATAAAACTGTGTTAGTTGGGTGAACCTGCACATAGTGAGATGAAACACAACCCCGTAAAAAAGTGTATCTGCACGATAACAATCAAATGGAACTAAGACAAGGGAACAGAACAAATCGTGAATTACTGTTTCGGGAAAGAAACCTACATTTGATTGTCGGAAATGTGAGAAATGTTGGGCCAGTGAGGTAGGTTGCATTTTCTTTTAATTTAGAACGCAACAGAAAAAATTGTACCGGCTTCCCCACTGCTGTAGATGCTTCAGATTCCCACAGCTGTGAATAGATAGATCGTCCACACACGAAGGGTTCCGTCATCACTCTGACAAGAGCCTTTTGACTCATCAAGGGTTCCGTCCACACACGAAGGATTCCGATTCTTCACTCAACTAATATCCCGTTTACTGCAGAAAACGAGAGTGAGTGAACAATATTGGACAAAATAAAATATACATGGATAATTGATTGGAAATAAAAATAAGGGCTCCAAAAATTAAAATTACCTCTGATAACTGGAATGTGATAAATCTTTGGCCATTCAGGGCCGTCCTTGGCGCATCTTTCTTTGAGACGGGGACACCATCGGATCTGTAGCTTACGTAATTTGGTTAGGCGTTGCATAGCTTCGACCGTAGGCAGATGCATCAGATTCTTACATTTCCAAATTTCCAACTCTGTAAGAGATGTAAGGTTGCCCAACCACTCTGGAAGAGCCTCCACACCATGGAAATATTTAATAGACAAAGATGTTAGAGAAGTAGAGTGTTGAATTGGCTGAGGCAGAGACTTGAGCTTAGGCCACCCGTATAATATTAATTTTTCCGATGGGACCTGAAGATCCGGGAAAGAATCGAGCTCCTTGCAGAACTTACCGATCCACAACCTTTTCAAACGAGATAGAGAGTGCAGCCCCTTGGGCAAATATTGTAATTTCCCACAATTAGACACAGATAGAGAGGAAAGAGATTGCAAGCTGGACAAATTGTGATCCGCCAGAGATATCAAATTGCGGCAATCATCGACAGACAAACTGGTAAGAGACGTGCAGGATGCAAGCCCACTCGGTATACTTGTTAATCGACCGCATTTCCTAATCTTCAACTCAGTGAGGAATGTAAGGTTGTCTAAACTGGGAATAGCCTCTAGACGAGGGCAATTAAAGATACTTAGACCTTCGAGAGAGACGGGGGTTTGTAGCCCATGACCCGACAAAGTCCTCAAATTACGACAATTCCAGATAATTAGTGTGCGAAGACTAGTACAAGATTGGAGCCCATTCAGTATACTTTTGAATCCATTGCATTCTTTAATAAACAAATAACAGAGGGATGTGCAACCGTTTAAAGACAAGTCGTCCTCCCCGTCCGCCTCCGGTGAGAAATCTACCGAGTTCTCGATTTGCAAATGACGGAGTGAAGACAGACTGTGAATTGAAGTGCATCTTAACTTTGGGCAAAGAGCTATGTACAACCGTTCAAGAGATTGGGATGATGAAATTGGAATGGATTTTAGATTGGGGCAATCCACAATATCAATACTTTGAAGTTTCCGCAAGTGTCCGAGCGGTGGGACCTCCTCACATTTTTTGCAATTGGATAGTTGAATCTCTGTTAACGAATCACTCATCATACATGATGCAAATTTAGCACCCATAAATTTCACAATCCTCAAGCTTTCTAAATTGGGGGGCGACTGAAGGCCTTCAAGAATATCCTGGTCAAGAAAATTGCCATTTCTTTCCGTATAATGGCTCCTCTTCCATTTTAATTCCAATTTTCGTATGTGTGTTTTTCCCACTAAATTTGATTTCATTGCTTCTTTCTTGTCTCTCACATATTCCAATGATCCAATAACTAGTTCCCCTTTCACTTCATTTAGCCCGCCCAGCTCATCAATTGTATGACGCCTTGCTCTATCCAAAGTAAAGGAACGTAGTGCTTGCAGGTGAGTCAATTGTGTTATCCGAAATGGAAATTCCTTATCCTTATTGAAATAAACATGCCTCAAGTTGATCAAATTTTCCATTTCCCTAGGAAACGTTTTAAGATTGTATGTTTTTGACATTCTTAACGTCTGAAGATTATAGAGCTTGCCAATAGATTTGGGGAGTTCTTTTATTTATGTCCTTGAAATATTGAGATACCTCAAGCGTTTCAACTCTCCAATTGAGATGGGCAACTCCTCTATTTCAGCCTTGTATAAATTTAACGTCCGTAAATCTCTAAACCTTTCAAACATGTTACTGAACTCAAAGCGTCGTGGAGGAAACAACGACCGCAATCTCGTAACACTCCCTTGTAGAAATCTTTCAAGTGTGGTGGAAGAAATCCGGGCAACATGCTGAATCTCAAGTGCTCTATCGTCCATCCAATCCAAGTCTCGCGTTAAGCTTTCAAATTTGAATACTTCCTCAGCAAGATCATGCACAAGATCATGCATCTTGCATTTGGTATTCCCATACTCATCTTCTCTTTCTCTTCTATGTGCATACTCATAGTTTCTAGCATCTTGAAATAAAGAGTTTTGCAATAGAATATTAAAATGTTCATTACCTTTATCCTCCATGGGAGAAGAATGGAGATATCCTTGAGCCATCCAGAGCTGGACCAAGTCATCTTTTTCAATTTCACAATCTTTTTCAAACATTGAGCAATATGCAAAACATTGCTTCAATGATGGCTCTCTTAAATTATCAAAACTCAACTTCAAGATCGACATGATTTGGTCCTCTCCATTTGGTAATTCCCATATTTTACTTTCTAGAATTGACGACCATTCCTGTGAACGCATCAAGCTTCCTAAAACCTGTTGATACATAAGATAATTAGTTTCTATATGTTTTAGAATATAAAAAGCTGATCAGCAAAATAATAACAGTGCCAAATTATAGTTTTATTGAATTTTGACTATAGTTATTGGCAATATAAAAGACGCATTGAACTCAACTTTGTTTTGTATCGATGAAAAGTGAAAGACTGCTCTTGCTAGAAGAGAAATACTTAAGGGACTTGCTAGCCAAGTAAGAATTGGTCTCAGAATTAATTGAAAGATACTTTATTAGATCATTTAAATATAAGTTTTAAATTTTTTTTTGAGTACATCAATATATTTTTACACCAAAAGATTGGAGAGTTCGGCTAAACCACACAATGGACAACCTAATTTGGTATCGAATTCGGCATCCACAAGATTTGAACCTAAAACCTTTCACTTCTAAATGAAGAAGAATATTATGATACTGTAGTACTAAGGGGCTATAAGTGTCAATTAGATACTTATGATAACTGAGTAACTGAATGGTTCGTAACAATGCACTAGGAATGTAGTATTTTGAAGGAGAGCTTTGATCCACATTTTCTAGAGCGTTTACATGTATATATAAGGTTAAGATTCGGAGACACTCATTTTTGAAACATATTTTAACACAAGTTTTCGTGGCTTTCATTCTGTAATTTTTTTTTCAAGGATCTCAATCGTTTATATTTCAATTCATCATTCATAGATCTTTCTTGTAAAAATTTAGACAAATCCAAACTCATTTTGACATTTATTGGTAGTGAAGAAAAAAGCCGATACGATTCTACAAAGATACACTAAATTTATGCAGTTGCACGATGAGCACAAAGTGAACTATTCTTTCGCCTTTTACTAAAGAAACACTGAATTTGATCCAATGGTCATATGACTTCAGATTTGGATGATTTTTTGATAGAGATGATATTTTAGGGAAGACATAAAATATAAGACGGTTAGATCGTTGAAATACGTTAAACACACAATATATATATACACACACACAGAGCTTAAGGGGAGGGATCCCCATTTTTTGGAAAAAAATGGGGACACGCTCCCCACCGTTAGATTGACTTTAATGAAATTGTGTGATTGAGATTGTGTGGCCTGTGTTTTAATCTCAACCACACAATTTCATTAAAGTCAATCTAATGGTGAGGAGCGTGTCCCCATTTTTTTGAAAAAATGGGGATCCCTCCCCTTAAGCAATTCCTATATACATATATATTATATATATATATATATATATATATATGTATGTATATATGTAGATATATGTATATATGTATATATATGTATATAGAGAGAGCTTAAGGGGAGGGATCCTCATTTTTTGAAAAAAATGGGGATTAGGTGTGGGGCCCACTTCACATCAAATTTCAACGATTCGAACCGTCTATTTTGTTAGTTTCGATTCATAGATCATCCTTGCAAAATATTAGCTAAATTGGAAATGTTTAAGACATCTAATTGGGTTCAAGGAAATGAACGAATACTTTGTTATATAAGAAAATATGAAATTTGATATTGATAATTAAATAGGCAAATGGTTTCGGATTGAATTGAATTTTTGCAAGTATGATCTATGAATCGAGACTAACAAAATAGACGGTTCGGATCGTTGAAATTTGATGTGAAGTGGGCCCCACACCTAATCCCCATTTTTTTCAAAAAATGGGGATCCCTCCCCTTAAGCTCTCTGTATGTATATATATGTATATATGTATATATATGTATATGAAGGCTTTAAGGGAAGGGATCCACATTTTTTTTTATATAAATAGGGATCTGTTGTGGGGCCATACCACATCGAATTTTAACGATTCGAACCGTCTATTTTTCAAATTGCATCTCATAGATCATTCTTGCAAAATATTAGCCAAATCGGAAATATTTAAGACATCTAATTGGGTTCAAAGAAATTAATGAATACTTGTTATATAAGAAACAATGAAATTTTACCTTGATAATTAAATAGGCTAATGATTTCGGATTGAATTGAATTGTTGCAAGAATGATCTATGAATCGAGACTTTCGAAATAGACTGTTCGGATGAAGTTCGATGTGAAGTGGGCCTATGGATTGTTCAAAAAATGTGTCTCCCAATCCTAATCCATATATATGTTATATAAACAAAATTGACCCTTTAAAGCTCACTATTATGTTTTTCATGCAATTTTCCTTTAAAATTGTTGGACAAAATTAGATATACCAAGTTAAGGCTTTTTATAATGGCGATTCTGTTGAATATTTAATCATACTTATATTACTAACATATAATAATATTCTTTTTTACCTGTAACTGAAGGGTTTTTAAGTTTTTGACTCATATGAATGGTGATGACACATTATATTTATTTGAGTTTGAGTTAGAAATCTAGATAATTGTATGTTTGACTCTGAATAAATAATTAAAACTTAAAATTATGTAATTGATGCATTATTTAGGAGTTCAATTATCTGCTATTTTTTAGGGAGAAAGAGGCATAAATAGTAGTAGTTCGAACAAAAAAACATAATTGGACTCACTTAAAATGTAGCCTATGATTTTGGGCCTCTATCTAAAAACCTTAATATAATAATATATGAATACATATCTTCGCCGCCAATGGTACACCAGCACACTTTTTAGCTATGGCCCTTCCAATGCACTCTTGATCTGAATCTAGAGAAGAAGCATTACCATCTGGTAATGCTTCACCCTTTAATACAGACCAACAATCCTCCACCGATAGGCCCTTCAAATCACACCTCGGCATTGTCTCAGTGATTGATGCAACCTTAGCACTACGGGTAGTAACAATGGCAATGCTTCCGGGACCTGAATTGAGTTTCGACAAACAGTCCATAAACTCCCTCCAAAAATTCTTCTCTTCATTCCAAACATCATCAAGTATCAGAATATATCTCTTGTCTGTCAACCTTTCTTTGAGGTCATTCAGCAATGCTTCCCGAGTTGTAAGTCCTGTCCTGTTTGAGTTAAGGGATTCTAACATCCGATTTAGAATCGAATTAACCTCAAAAGTGTCGGATACACACAACCACATTTTTTCAACAAAAGGCGTACGAATAGCATCATGATTGAATATTGATTTTGCCAAAGTCGTCTTTCCGAGTCCTCCCATTCCCACAACGGCCATAACCGAAAGGTTATTTTCCTGATTCTTGGACATCAAGATTTTAATGATATCCGACACAATTTTCTCCCTTCCAATGATCTTGTCATACTGACCGAAGCTCGAGTCAGTTTCTCTGTTCCTCATAATTGGAGGAGGGCTATGATCTACTGGCCTTACAACTAAGCCAATGGAAGGTGCCTCACTCTTGAGACCCGCCAGTGACGCATTGATGTTCTTAATCTTTTGTGCCATCTTTTGACGAAATAAAATGGGATTGGAAAGCGAAAAGAAGTCAAGTACCTTCTTCTTCATGTGGTTTTGAATTTCTACTTTACGCCGGAGAACGTCGTAGTTGATGTCCTCCAAGACGTCATCGGCATCGTGAGCTACGTCTTTCAGTTTCTTGACCCAGTTTCTGACTGCCATGCTCCGATCCTGTGGTTGGTGGGCAACATCGCCTAAGTACTGTTCAATTTCCTCTAACGATACAGCAAGCTCAGTTGCTTCTTTTTTAAAATCCTCGGAAAAGACAGATTTCTTGAGCAGCAAGCGAACCGACCGACTTCAGTATTCCCTCCACCGGATAAGTGATGAGACCTTGTAGCACATCCATACTCGCGCGAGAAAGGGAGATTAGAGAGTAGAAAGCAGAGAACTGAGAGAAAGCCAAGGAAGGACACAAGAAGAGCGAATAAGATGAATGAAAGGCTTAACAATAATTCAAGAAAATGTGGTATAAGAAGAAAGGACCCCTTATAATTGACGCCACTTACCTGTGAGCGTCAACATAATGTTCAAGAGCAATATTAACCCATCTTATCAGCAAAGATTCTTTCTACAACTTTAGTAAATAGTGGAGGCGGACTTTGATTAGTCAATATTTATTGGTCTTCCATGGATTTTTGTCAGGACTTAGTACTGGTGACTATTCAACCCTACCCGGTCCTGTCACTTCATCTTCTACATGATTTCGCGTAGGCAGTGGTATTTACACATTTAACTTTACTTTTCATTCTTAATTTTACTGAATGAATTGAAAAAGAATAATTATACAAAATTAACAAAAATGTGTCAGAAATAAAAATGATTGTGTGAATAAGACTTTCACATAAAATGTGTTTTCTTTTACACAATCGAGCTAGAAACTTGTCTCTTACACATCGAATTGACTATGGTAAACCTAAACCTAACGACAAAATGCGGTAGCTATTACGATCAAACGCTAGGAATTCGTCTCCAACCCTACACATATCTGATAAAGAGCGATTAAATTGGTCTTGGTTTTAGCAGTTTATACATACGTCAAATCCAACGAAATCAAACCAAACTAATTATAGTTTGATTTAGTTCAACCTAAAATTGCATTTTTTTTTCATTATAAAAGTCATACCAAACTTCTTAGATTGATTTTTATACAACGATATATATACAGAGATAAAAGTTAAATCAAAACTTTTTGGATTGGGGTGTAGTATAAATTTGTATTGAACTCTTCATTCATGAATTTCAAACTTAAGACCTATTATTTATAAGTAAAGAAAATTATTGTTAGATCATAATATTAAATGACACCCTCTTGGATGGTTTAGTTTGAACAGTATTTTCATACAACGATATATTTACGTTAAATTGAGATAAAATGGACAAGAATACTCTCCGAATCTCTATTTAGGAACTTCCACCACTATCTCTGAGAGCTTATTTAAAGATTTTAAAGAAATATTTGGGTCTTTAAAAGAATATTGTTTTTTATGAAAAGTTCTTATAGTGTAATCTTCAGATTAATATAAAAACTAAAATATTGAAAAATTATTATTCATGGATGAAAAAACCTAAAAAAATATCTCTACCCTTAGTTTTTCAACAATTAAAAAAAAATTACGTGAAAAACCAAAAATGAAAATTTCACGTGGGTGGGAATCGTGGGATCAACAAACAAGGTAAAAGACAAAAAACCAACTGGTGTGGGTCACTTTTCTCCAAAATCAACAGAGGCCCACTATACAATTTTCACATTTGAGATTTTCTTTTGAAGTATTTAGCGAGTTTTTATCAAGGAACAAAATGCCGATAATATCGGTGATATTTCGCCGATATTATCGGTTTTTCAGGGTACCGATATTTTAATAGGTATCCAATGGGTTTTCGTCAAAATATTGCGATATTTCCGAAACTATCGCGATATTTTGGAACTGTGCTACTCGGAGAAGAACGCCGGAGCTTCTACAGCTCCGGCCGATTACAAACGCAAACCTTAGACTCCGATCTAATTACCAACGTGAAGAGGAAAGAGAGAGGAGTAAGTTTATACCCTTGGTTCGCCGTGAAATGGCTGAAGGTTTTCGGAAAGCTCCTTAACAGTCACGGGTTCGCCGGAGTTGGGTGAGCTTTCCCTTGACCTGATCTCGTTCCATAACACACACATAAGCTTACCTAACTGGAGAAAATGAAGAAAACTCACCGGAGGTTTCTGGGTTTCGTCAATCTTGCAGAGACAAGAGGAAGAGAGAGAAAGACGAGGTTTTGATGGTGATGCCGTCTACGGAACGATGGTGTGGGTGCCGTGTACTAGGGTAATCATGGGAGAAAGAGTGAGAGTGATGAGAGGGTTTCGAGAGAGAAGAGAGTGTGCAGAGAAGGAAAGAAAGAGAAGAAGAAAGAAAGGGGGTCTCGGGTAGGATCTGGTTGATCTCGGTGACGATGGTGATGAAGCCAGAGGAGGAAGAGGAGGAGGGAAGGCGGCGGAGGGAGAAGGAGTAGGAGGAAACGAAGAGGGTTTTGCAGGGGCGGAGATTGCGAAGAGGGAGATGAGGGCGATGAGGAGGAGGAGGGATCGTTTACTCGTTCTCTCTGTCTTCTCTTCTTTCTCGTTTCAATTGGCAATTTAGGGATTTAAGCAAGTTTTAGGCCCCCAAATCATCTACTTATATTGCCCTAAAAAACTCCAAGTAATTACAACATCGTATTAGAATTGTAATTGATCCTTGTTAGATTTGGTTTAGAAATTCTATGTAATTTAGTGATTGTTTCATATTAGGTTTAGATTTGAATTTTTTACTCCATTCAGATTTTAAAGGATTATAATAGATTTAAAAATTTATGAATTTTGATGAAGTTTAATAATTTTTAAAACTTTTATGTAAAATTTTAAGTGAATTCCCTCAAATTTTCAGGGAGCGATTTGAGAATGTTTAAAATATTATGTGAAATATTTCTAATTTTTTCGAGTTTCCCAACTTTTTAAAAATCTCTTCGAATCAATTTCTAAATGAATACATTTGGAATGTATGAATATCTTAAAAATCATGATCGAATACCCAAAAAACTTTAAAGAATCACTTAAAATCCTGATTAAATACCCTTAGATTTTTAAGGAGAATTAAAATGTTTATAAGCCCCAATTGGATGTACCGCTTAATTTAACTAATTGACACAACACAACAAAACTAGTTAAGATTACAAATTAACACAAAAGACGACTTGATGCGAGGTCATATCTAAAAAACTTGCCGCAATAAGCCCCAATTGGTGTGTTTAAACTTCTTTCATTAATTACTACATATTTTCTACACTCACATGTTTGTCAGCTCGCTATATAATCAACTTGATAATGTTAAATCCATCATGCAATGCATTTCCTTCCAATTTTTTGTGATAAACTAATAGATAATTGACTAAATAAACATCCTGCAAAGTTTTTCAATAAAAAATTTCCAAGTTTTTCTTACAATTTTCGTGGTTTCCATGTAATTTTTATCGATATCGATATTATCCCGATATTTCCATCGATTTTCCGTGTTTTCGGACTACCGATATTTCCGATATTACCGATATTTAATACCTTGGTTTTTATATAGGGAGTTTTAACGAAAAACCCACGGTACTGTTCACTTTAACGAAAAACCACATTTTTACACTAAAAAGTCAAACCTGGTACTATTCACTTTACCTTTTATTTTGTCCTTATCATTAAAACTCAAAGTTTTCAAGCTTTTTTCATTAGTTTTCCTTTTTATATATTTGAATATTTTTTGACAAAAAAAATATTGGAATATTTTAAAGACTTTATTTTCGACTCTTTAAATACTTTTTGTCTTTATGTTTAGAGATTGTACTATTATAAAGACTTTGTTTAGATTCTCTATTGGAGATGTTCAAACATGACAAAAAGGTGAAAGTAGAGCAAGACCACATAAATATAAATTCATCTTATCTGTAATCTCTTTCGACAACTTTAGATGATAGTGTAGACCCAACTTTAACAAAGTAAATTAAAGATATTTATTAAAAAATAATAACAACTTCGTTAGTACATTCAAAAGTGTATGTATGATAAGAAGATCCTAAGTATTCGTTTTTCAGTACTAACGAGAGTCATCAGATTGAAATACCTCCAAGTAATTGTAAACGATTCGAATTCACGGAACAACTATACAAATTCAACATATGTCATTTGGTTTCCAAGTTGATCACTACGTGTATTTCAATCAAGGATGAAAAAATCGATAATATCGGCGACATCGTTTTTTTGAAGTTCCGAAATTTTTTTAACTATCCAACCTATTTTCATCAAAATATCGCGATATTATCGATAATACCAATAATATCGCGATATTATCGATAATACCAATAATATCGCGATATTTTCGAAATTATCGACAATATCGTGATATTTTATTAAAAAAATACTTAAATATGTTGAGAAAACTCAACACATAGTTAACTTGATCATGGCCCAAAGGCCAAACAAGTTTTGGTTATCTCTCCAGGGAAGTGAGTTTTATAGCAAAAATTCATTTCTCACTTCCTTGCATGGGCGATGTGGGACTCGCCCAATGGGGGAAAAAATCAAAATTTCGGCCGAAATTTTACACTCACTTTAAACGGCCATAACTTTGTCAAAACTCAACGAAATCAAGCAAGACAAAAACTAAAGTTGTAGCCCTCGAAGAGACTAAGAGAATGGTACCTCACACTATGTCTTAATCGTAGTGGTTTGGCCGGAAAATGCCTCGAAAGTCACTGAGGTCGCTGAGGTCGTCGGAAACTGGGTAAGATTCAAATGAGTATAACTTTTTCAATACGCAACGAAATTGAGTGAAACAAAAAGGAAAGTTGTAGCCCTCGAAGAGACGAAGATAATGGTACCTCACACGATGTCTGAATCGTCGTGGTTTGGCCGGAAAATTCCTCGAAAGTCACTGAGGTCGCTGAGGTCGTCGGAAACTGGGTAAGATTCAAATGAGTATAATTTTTTCAATACGCAACGAAATTGAGTGAAACAAAAAGGAAAGTTGTAGCCCTCGAAGAGACGAAGAGAATGGTACCTCACACGACGTCTGACTCGTTGTGGTTTGGCCGGAAATTGCCTCGAAATCTACTGAGGTCGCCGGAAACTGGGTAAGATTCAAATGAGCTTTTTCAATACGCAACGAAATTGAGTGAAACAAAAAGGAAAGTTGTAGCCCTCGAAGAGACGAAGAGATTGATACCTTGCACGTCAGCCCAAAATTCAAATTGACACACTCCTAGCTTCCAAAATTCAATACTTTTTACTTTATATCAAGTTGAAAAAACATAATCGGCATCCAAATTAAAGTTTAATCTTATTCAATGTATTGATTTTCAATCGTTAATTGATATACTATAATTTGGAACTTCAACGCCTAGACGCATGCTTATGTGTAAGAAATTTAAATTGTCAAATTCGGCACATTATTCTTCATCATTTTATTCACTTCCCTTTTTTTTTTTTTTAATATCCTAAATAAAACCTCCAAATATTGTACTAATTAATTATATATAAATGATTATGGTGTGTTTAAACTTCTTTCATTAATTACTACATATTTTCTACACTCACAATGTTTGCCAGCTCGGTATATAATCAACTTAAATCAGTTAAATCCATCATGCAATGCATTTCCTTCCAATTTTTTTGTGAGAAACTAATAGATAATTGACTAAATAAACATCCTACAAAGTTTCATTAAAAATTTCCAAGTTTTTCTTACAATTTCCGTGGTTTCCATGTAATTTTTATCGATATCGATATTATCCCGATATTTCCGTGTTTTCGGACTACCGATATTTCCGATATTACCGATATTTTCTTCCTTGCTTTCAATAATATCTTGTTTAGAATTTGTTTGGATTTGCAGATCCTCCATCTTCTAACATAGAGGAAATTTCTCCAACACTGCCTTCCTTGTAATTGTTGTAATGAGATGCGTTGTTGTTTTCATGGGGCAGGTCCTAATGAATCCTATAGCTATTGGACCCCATCCCACTTGTGTTTGGCATCGGTGGCACCATTGTGTTTGGCAATCAATGCAAAATTACGTACAATAATTTAAGTATCAAACAAAATGTAAACTTCATTTTGAACATATGGAGTAGGGTTTGTTGCAAGTATATTATTGGAGATCGAATAATGACATGAGACTAATAATAATTTCTGGTGTAATTTGTTAATTTTCTGAGTATTCCACTGACTTTTTGGAAGGCTGGCTGGTGGAGGAAGCTGCTTTTAGCTTTTTATTACTTCTTGAAACTACCCGCTTCGGATTTGAATTTACCAAAAGCAACTTTCAGCTGTTAACTGCAATTTATGCAGCTGATAAGAGATATAACCCACTCTACACCTCGTAACGAAAAAAAAAACCCTTCTATAGACACTTTGATCACGTCATCTATAGAGTTATTTAGTGTAAGAGCTTTTCTAATACGTTGAAACTCATTTTCAAGTGAGAGACATCAAATTTGACTCACATAAATAGTAAATTTGAAAACATTTTTTGTCGAAAAAAAATATGTTTGTTACTTAATTGTTATATGTTGGATGTCGAGTTTCTATTAGAAAATATTTCTTGTATATAAAAGGAAAACAATTTTAATTTCATTATGTACACATGTCAATATCACTGGCAATTTGACCAAATGGCTACTATTTGGTGTTTTAACTGCAAATGCATGAAATCAGTGAGAGATTTTTCAATGTGATCGATACACAAAATAATATATCACGTGTCACTATATAAATTTTTATGTATGTTAAAAAGTTAATAACTTAAAAAATAAAATTTCTCACAAATTCTATAAAAACATGTGATGTACCATTCGTGTTCCGATCACAATGAAAAATTTCTCGAAACCTTCACGCTTGCTTCCTCAATCACCAACATTGACCATTCTCTCTTTCCCATTAAAAAAATTAATAAATATGGCGTCAGTCATACAAAGTCAAGCTTTCTAAACTCTTTTATGGACAGATGCGGATTTTAGGGTTCAAAGCTTAACCAACGGGTAATTCGGATCATTTAACTTGATTTTAATAGTACTAATTAACTCATTCTGCTGCCTCATTTTACGCAATCTAAAGACTTCAACGTCTTTTGGACCTAAATTTTCTGGTCCTTAGGCTCTGAACCCTAATGTCAGAAGGGGAACAAATTCCTCTTTATTATCCATCTGTCAAATATTCAACTGTTTGCTTTTAGCTCGTTGTCCTAGTTTCTATATTCCTCATCCTCCTCTAGCTAGCTTTTAGAGTCCGGCATCCGAATCACATGTCCATGCGGCCCTAGACACATTAAAGCTTCCCTACTCCATGTAATGACTCCACTCCCCTCTCCCTCCACCTTCATGGCCCAACACCTTTGGGTTTCGGACAAAATAATTTATACATCTAGAGAGGTTCTTGTGTCTGAAACCCCAGCTAAGTTTAATAGAGGAGGTGGGATCATAATTTGGTGTATCGTGGGCCACACAATCAGGGAGATATACTGCTTTTTTAGTGTCCAAGTCATAGGGATCAGGTGGATTGGTTGCTCTAAACTAGAATTTTATCCTCAATTTGACAAATTAACAATGGCTAATTGGCTATGCCGCTCCCTCTCTATGTTGTTAATAGTGTCAATATTGTCCCGTTACATCGATTGAAGAAAAACCCATATCAGGAATAATATGTATAAACAAAATATGATGCTTTATTTGAGAATTTATTTGAGAATCATGGCCTTGGATGAGTTTACGATAGATAAATACCACAAAGTATAGATAGTCAAAAGTTCAAACATTATTGACGGATGGTGAATGTGAATGATAATTCAAGAGTAGTGAGAAAGATGATTGGTATTTAGTCTTTGGTCACTATTATCTTGAAAGTTGATGACCAAAATGACAACTGCCTCCCCTTCTTTTGGCTGCAACAGCAGAAATAGGATGCTTACATGGAACCGGCATTTGTGGAATATGAACATCTGGAAATTACTCCACTACGTAAGACAAGATCATCACTTTCTGTGATTGCAGGTTGGCCAGTAAAACTCTAAACATCAATTTTTTTTCATTCAACCTTTGATAATTATAGTACCTGCAGACCAAATAAAGTAATCATAGATCACTCACTGCTCATAGATTTGTTTTTTTTTTTTAAATCAAAATTCTAAGAACACGAAATATGAACATACTCAGGATCGAGATACCCTGCTGTGCTCATGACCGAAGCCACCACGAGTTTCACTGTCACTGGGAAAAGCCATGGACAGACCGAGATCTGCTATTTTTGCGTCCAAGTTTTCACTTAAGAGAATGTTGGCAGTATTTGCGTCTCTATGCACAATACGTGGATTGCACCTTTATGCAAGGAAATAGTCCTGTGAGCCAAATTTCACAATATACATAAGTTGAATTAGGCATATGAACTTGCGCAAGTATATTAGCGTACGAAATATCACGAAGCACCAACCTAACGCAATATCTAGTGTTATCCGAAGTCTCATTTCCCAAGTCGCATGTGACCTTCTATCTGCATTTTTAGCCATTGACGTGACACTTCAATATTTTGAAACCCTCTGATGGAGGACAATGCTTATAAAATATAGAACTACACACCTGAGAGATATTCTTTTAGGTTTCCTTTAGGCATGTACTCGTATGTAATATGAGTACCAGGTAGTATCATCACAGTATCCAATAAATGAGGCCAAGTTTCTATGATGTATTCTCATCACGAGCTCAACCTGCAGCAACAAGGAACACATCAATCTCTAACCAACGAGACAAGGCACTTGCAATTCCAAGGAATTTAAATCCTAACTGCCAAACCTCTGTTTGGAACTCCCTAGCTCCTTGAGTTGACGATGGAGAAAGTATTTTAACCGCAACTTGAGTGCCATCTTCCAAGTAGCCATGGTATACAATCCCAAGTCCTCCTTTCCCAATTTCAGTTTGAAAGTTTTCGGTGATTTCTAAAACCTCGTCGTAAGTAAACTGGGACTTCATTGATGCTACTGGTGTGCTACAGGTGTTTTGTTATGTTTTTCTCCATCTGCAGCTTAAGGACAAAAAGTTATGAGTGCAGGCTAACTGCATAGGAATACCACAACGCCATAGTAGCAGCGCTGTTTCTAACTAAATAAGTATCAAGGGTATAAAATGGTACCTGGTTTTCTTATTCTTCTCAGCTTCCAGACCAGTAAGAGCACTATAACTTGAAGAAGGGCCATTGTTGAAAGTAATGATCCAAGTATTGTTCAAAGTAATGATCCAAGTATTGGAACAACAATGATCTTCTTGTACTTGCTTGAATCTGAGCTAAAAAGAACTTATCAGCAGATAGAAAATATAAATCTGAAGGACGCAATACCATTCGCTTTCGTTAAAGAAAATGCTAACCTATTCAGCACTCTCCATGAACGAAACTTGCACAAAGCAGTAGGACGAGGAAACCAGTTGAGATCTTCATCTCTCTGTCTCATTGCAGCCTATGAACTACCTGGTATTTAAAATGTGTGACAATGTCCCGACCAAAAAAACAGAAAAACGTATATGACAGTGTGGATTTGTAACCACATGCCGCACAACTTGCAGAGTACATACGTGATCCTTATTACATGGGGATGCTTAGTCTACGTCAATCAAAACCTTCCCCAGAAAACTAAATCCCTAATATCAGAATTTCAAAAACCCTAACCCTTGGGATCCTGCTGACAGCGCTGGGGCTGGGCTGACGGTGCTGGGGTGACGGCAGTGGGGTGATGGCGGTGTGGCGACGATGTTGCTCCAAGCGGTGGCGTGGCGACCAGACCGGTGTTCTGGGCTTCTGGGCTTCTGGCGCGCGAGAGAAGAAGAAGCAAGAAGGCAGAAGGCAGAAGGCAGAGGTAGACGAAGGCGATCGAATTCGAAGGTATGGTATGAAGACTGAAAATCCTTACCCAAACGGCGTTGTTTTGGGTTTGGATGGTTTTCAAAAAACAAAAAAAAGGGTATGACAAGGCGCCTGGACGCCCTGAGGCGCGCCTCCGCCGCCTCGGCGTCTCCGGCGAAGCATTTCGCCTACTCCAGAAAAACTGAGGCGTTTGCCTCACCGCCCAGCCTCAAAGGCGCCCTAGGCGCGCCTCGAGGCGAGTTCTTTAAAACATTGCTTAGAACTTATTCGAATGCACATTGGACGTTATAACATATACAGAATGACCACGGATTCGTAAACAGTTGCAAATGTACTTCTATTTACTCATATTTAAGGACCAAAAAGCTTAATTTCCACAAAAGTCTAAAGTGCTGTTCCAAAAAGATTGTGAAAGCAAAGAAATTAATGTTCTTCCACGAGGCTAGAAAGTGTATGACTTTGCAAACTAAATGCAACTAAGACAAAAGAACAGAACCAATCACGAATTACTGTTTCGGGAAAGAAACCTACACTTGACTGTATGAAATGCGGGAAATCTTGGGCCAGTCGAGCAGTTGCTTCTTTTAATTTAGAACACAACAGTAAAATTTGGACTGGCTTCCCTACTGTCGATAGATACTTCAGGTTCCCACAACGGTGAGCAGATAGATCATCGACACATGTAAGGTCCCATCATCACTCTGGTAAGACCCTTCTGAATCAAGTGCCATTGTTGATAGTAATGATCCAAGTATTGGAACAACAATATTCTTCTTGAGCTTGCTTGAATCTGATTTAAAAATAACTTATCAGCAGACAGAAAATATAAATTCTGAAGGACGCAATGCCATTCGCTTTCGTTAAAGGAAATGCTAACCTATTGGGCACTCTCCATGAACAAACTTGCAGAGAGCAGTAGGACGAGGAAACCAGTTGAGATCTTCATCTCTCTGTCTCATTGCAGCCTATGAACTACCAGGTATTTAAAACACGTGACAATGTCCCGACCAAAAAAACAGAAAAACGTATGAGTGTGGACTTGTAACCTCATGCTGCCTGCACAATGATCCTTATTACATGGGGATGCTTAGTGTACGTCAATCAATGGATAATGCAATGTTCATACTAGAGCAATTTGGTCAAGCCAACGTATTTTCTAGTCAAAGCATTTCAAACAATGTTCCTGTTAGGGTTATGTGCTGTGATACAACTCGAAGTATTGGACAAAAGTGATTAAGTTGAGGACAATATAGATACATACTAGTATGTAGCCTACACTGATTCACTGCACAACAGATCCCACACCCATTTTTAGCCCACCAAGTTTTGAACATGGGATGAATGAGAGTTTGTAGCTACCTAGCATGGTGCAGTCATGGAACCTGCATTTGTGGAATCTGAACATCTGGAAATCACTCTAGGTGTACTATGGTATGATGAAATCGTACAAAACCCATGCTGCAGTCATGGAACCTCCATTTCCAAACGTTGTGTTAGTTGACACGACACAGCACAAAACCCATGCTGCAGACCAAAAAAAAGTAATCATAAACCAACTGTTCTTACATTTGTATTCATAACATGATAAAAAATCAAATAGAACAAGGAAATTTGAACATACTCTAGATCAAGAGAACCCGCTGTGCCCATGACTGATGTCACCACACAAGTCCCATTATCACTGGAAAAAACCATGGACATACTGAAATCTGCTATTTCCACATCCAAGTTTTCGTTGCGCTGGGATTGCCTCCTCTCTTAATGCAATTCTCTTACTGGATTCCCTTCTTAAATAGGCTGAAATACAAATCCAATTCATCTGTGATTAACGTATTTTACATAACTTGACGTGCTTTTATTCGAGGATGAAAGATGGAAGAAAGAAGTTACATATTAACTAAACAGATTACCTTCCATAAAATTGGTCTAATAAAACTGTGTTAGTTTGGTGAACAGATTACCCTGTACAAAAGTGTATCTGCACCATAACAATCAAATGGACCTAAGACAAGAGAACAGAACAAATCGTTAATGACTGTTTCGGGAAAGAAACCTACACTTGACTGTTGGAAATGTGAGAAAGGTTGCATTTTCTTTAAATTTAGAACACCACAGAAAAAATTGTACTGGCTTCCCCACTGCTGTAGATGCTTCAGATTCCCAACAGCTGTGAAAAGATAGATCGTCCACACACGAAAGGTTCTGTCATCACTCTGGCAAGAGCCTTTTGAATCATCGAGTGACAATGATTCCGATTCTGACTAATATCCCGTTTACTGCAGAAAACTAGAGTGAGTGAACAATATTGGACAAAATATACATGATAATTGATTGGAAATAAAAATAAGGGCTCAAAAAATAAAAATTACCTCGGATAACTGGAATGTGAGAAATCTTTGGCCATTCTGGGCCGTCCTTGGTGCATCTTTCCTTGAGACGGGGACACCTTTGGATCTCTAGCTTATGTAATTTGGTTAGGCATTGCATAGCTTCGACCGTAGGCAGATACATCAGATTCTCACACCAGGAAATTTCCAACTCTGTAAGAGATGTAAGGTTGCCCAACCATTCTGGAAGAGCCTCCACACCATCGAAAGCAGAAATGGACAAAGATGTTAGAGAAGTAGAGTGTTGAATTGGCCGAGGCAGAGACTTGAGCTTAGGCCACCTGTACAATGCTAATTCTTCCAGTTTCGATGGGACCTGAAAATCTGGGAAAGAATCGAGCTCTTTGCAGAATAAATCGAGCTCCTTCCAGTTTTGGTGTGATACAAGTCAGAGAGACAATCCGAAGTATTGGACAAAAGTGATTAAGTCGAGGAAATATAGATACAAACTAGTATTTAGCGTACACTGATTCACTGCACAACAGATCCCACACCCATTTTTAACCCACCAAGTTATGAACATGGTATGAATGAGAGAGTTTGTAGCTACCTAGCATGGTGCTGTCATGGAACCTGCATTTGTGGAATCTGAACATCTGGAAATCACTCTAGGTGAACTATGGAATGGTGAAATCGTAACACAAGTTTCTTCATTCAAGCCAGTTTCTTCATTTGAGCCTTGAGTTCTTTCTGGATGCCTGGACACCTTCATTTCCAAACATTGTGTTAGTTGACATGACACAGCACAAAACCCATGCTGCAGACCAAAAAAAGTATTCATAAACCACTCACTGTTCATACATTTGTATTCATAACATGATAAAAAAAATCTAATAGAACAAGGAAATTTGAAAATACTATAGGTCAAGATAACCCACTGTGCCCATGACTGATGTCACCACACGAGTCCCATTATCACTGGAAAAAACCATGGACATACTGAAATCTGCTATTTTCGCGTCCAAGTTTTCATTGCTCTGGGATTGCTCTCCTGTCTAACTGCAATTCTCTTACTGGATTCCCTTCTTAAGTGAGCTGAAATACTAAACCAATTTATCTGTGATTAACGTATTCTAGATAACTCGACATGATTTTATTCAAGGATGAAAGATTGAAGAAAAAAGTTACATATTGACTAAACAGATTACCTTCCACAAAATTGGTCTCATAAAACTGTGTTAGTTGAGAGAACCTGCACAGAGTGAGAAGAAACACAGCCTTCTACAAAAGTGTATCTGCACCATAACAACCATGCACAACAAGCCTTAGAACATATTCGAATGCACGTTGAATGTCGTAAGTTATACAGAATGGCCACAGACTTGCAAACACTTGCAATTTTACTTCTAATTAGTAATTACTAAAAGCTTAATTTCCACAAAAGCCTAAAGTCCTACAACAACAACAACAACAACAAAGCCTTTTCCCACTAAGTGGGGTCGGCTATATGAATCCTAGAACGCCATTGCGCTCGGTTTTGTGTCATGTCCTCCGTTAGATCCAAGTACTCCAAGTCTTTTCTTAGAGTCTCTTCCAAAGTTTTCCTAGGTCTTCCTCTACCCCTTCGGCCCTGAACCTCTGTCCCGTAGTCACATCTTCGAACTGGAGCGTCAGTCGGCCTTCTTTGCACATGTCCAAATCACCGGAGCCGATTTTCTCTCATCTTTCCTACAATTCCGGCTACTCCTACTTTACCTCGGATATCCTCATTCCCAATCTTATCCTTTCTCGTGTGCCCATACATCCCACGAAGCATCCTCATCTCCGCTACACCCATTTTGTGTACGTGTTGATGCTTCACCGCCCAACATTCTGTGCCATACAACATCACTGGCCTTATTGCCGTCCTATAAAATTTTCCCTTGAGCTTCAGTGGCCTACGACGGTCACACAACACGCCGGATGCATTCTTACACTTCATCCATCCAGCTCGTATTCTATGGTTGAGATCTCCATCTAATTCTCCGTTCTCTTGCAAGATAGATCCTAGGTAGCGAAAACGGTCGCTTTTTGTGATCTTCGCTAGATTGCTCCGGTCATTAGTGTGGATAAGTATATAAATGGATAGAGATAGGAAAGCAAACACAAGATGTACGGGGTTCACCCAGATTGGCTACGTCCACGGAATAGAAGAGTTCTCATTAATTGTGAAGGGTTTACACAAGTACATAGGTTCAAGCTCTCCTTTAGTGAGTACAAGTGAATGATTTAGTACAAATGACATTAGGAAATATTGTGGGAGAATGATCTCGTAATCACGAAACTTCTAAGTATCGGAGTGTGGTGTCGTCTTGACTTGCCTTATCTGTCTCATAGGTAGATGTGGCATCTTCTCTGGAAGTACTCTTCCTCTATCCAAGGGTGGTATCTTTAACTGGTGGAGATGCACAAGGTAATGTATCAATTTCACTTGAAGCTTACTTGTAGTTTCAGGCTTGGTCAAGCGCGATACAAACCATGTAGTACGAGTCCCCCAAGTCGCCGAGCTAGGGGGTCTGCTGAAAGAGGTGACAGACAAGGTAAGCAATCAGAGCTCCGACTGATTGTTCACCTTCTCCCCATCTTGCAGCAGCATGAAGGATAAAGAGAAGAAAAATGAGAAGAGATGATATGAGATACTTTTGCTTTTGAAGAAGTAACTTTCCACAGGCTTATTCTTGAATTGAGCTGGAGGGTTTTCTGGTTTCCTCCAGAGTATAAGGCCGACTGAAGAATTTGAGGGTCAAAACAAGTCCATCAAATCTAGAGTACATTCCACCCTGCTGATATGGGATGCTTTTGCTTTTGACAGAGTAATGGATGTATCGGCACGTGTGCTGTTACGCTTGTCTCCACATGCTTCCTTGTATCCTTCGCACTTGCCCTATCTGTTCCTCAAGTAGATGCGGAATCTTCCCTGGAAACATAAGATGTTGAAGATGAGTACTCGAGAGCAATGCCAGGTAAGTAATCAGGTAAGGGGTTCCAGGCAGTCAGTTCCTGGCTGGAAGCTTGATTCCAAGTGCTGACTGATTGCTCTCTTTCTCCTTGTCTTGCAGGTAAAAACAAGGCCAAAGGAAAAGACAGGGAAAAAGCATGATATGGGATACTCTTGCTTTTAACCCTGATGATATGAGATATTCTTGCTCTAGTATAGCTTGTTTGCATAGGTATTATCGGGGGGAAGGAAAGCTGAATATTTCGAAAGGCTTCGTTGGGAGTGCCCTCTCAGATATGATGAAGGGTTGAGCATTTTTGCAGGTCTGCCTGTCTGTTGGGGATGGAGGTCGACATATATAGGAGTCTCCCTAAGAAGTAGTAATGTTATTCCTTTACCCTGCTTGGTCATAGCACGGTAGTGGGAGCGGCCAGTTTCACATGTTTTAACTCTGTCAGAGCACTTTGAGAAAGTGGTCTGTGGTATCTGGCTCTCGAGATTCGGAGAACGATGCCTCTTCGATTTTTGAGAAAGCAATCATGCTAGGGGTCTGGCTCTCGAGATTCGGAGAGCGGTGTCTCTTCGATTTTTGAGAAAGTAATCATGTTGGGAGTTTGGCTCTCGAGATTCGGAGGGCGGCGCCTCTTCGATTTTGGAGCAAGCAATCTTGTTGGGAGTGTTGTCTCGAATGTGAGTAAAGGTTGGGCATGTTTGTTAGTCTACCTTGCCACGAAGCACAAAGGTTGACACACAGGGATTTTCCAATTATCCAGCAATGGTACTGTTCCTTTACCCTCTCTTCGATTTTGAGAAAGTAGTCATGTTGGGAGTCTGGCTCTCGAGATTCGGAGGACGGTGTCTCTTCGATTTTGGAGCAAGCAATCTTGTTGGGAGTGTTTTCTCGAATGTGAGTAAAGGTTGGGCATGTTTGCTAGTCTACCTTGCCACGAAGCACATAGGTTGACAAACAGGGACTTTCCAATTATCCAGCAGTGGTACTGTTCCTTTATCCTTGTGGGTAATAATATGGTAATAATATGGTAGCTAGACCTTCAAAATTTATGTGTCTAAACTTTGTTAGTGCTACTTCTTTGCTATTCTTTTACCTTTCTTGGTCAGAGCGATGTAGTGGGAGCTGCAAGCTTCACGTGCTCAACTTTGGCAGAGAACTTTGGCAAAGTTATCTGTGGTACCCATGAGCTATTGTTGCGTGTGGGAAGTGGGTGATTGAACAGTAAGATTCATGTGCTTTCTACTTCACCAGAAGTCTTCGACAGAATGCCCATAATTTCTGCAAAGCTGAGTGTGCGTGTGACAGGTGCTGACAAGGCTAGAAAAGTAGGTGCCTCTTCGATTTCTGAGATCGGCCCTCGTGGTCTCTAAGCAGCCCAGCTTTTGAGAAAGCGAGCGCCTCTTCGATTGATTCGGAGAACGATGCCTCATCGATTTTTGAGAAAGCAATCATGCTGGGGGTCTGGCTCTCGAAGATTCGGGGAGCAGTGTCTCTTCGATTTTTGAGAAAGTAATCATGTTGGGAGTCTGGCTCTCGAGATTCGGAGGGCGGTGCCTCTTCGATTTTGGAGCAAGCAATCTTGTTGAGAGTGTTTTCTCGAATGTGAGTAAAGGTTGGGCATGTTTGCTAGTCTACCTTGCCACGAAGCACAGAGGTTGACACACAGGGACTTTCCAATTATCCAGCAGTGGTACTATTCTTTTACCCTCTCTTCGATTTTTAAGAAAGTAGTCATGTTGGGAGTCTGGCTCTCGAGATTCGGAGGACGGTGCCTCTTCGATTTTGGAGCAAGCAATCTTATTGGGAGTGTTTTCTCGAATGTGAGTAAAGGTTGGGCATGTTTGCTAGTCTACTTTGCCACGAAGCACAGAGGTTGACACACAGGGACTTTCCAATTATCCAGCAGTGGTACTATTCCTTGACCCTTGTGGGTAATAATATGGTAGCTAGACCTTCAAAATTTATGGGTCTAAACTTTGTTAGTGCTGTTTCTTTGCTATTCTTTTGCCTTTCTTGGTCAGAGCGATGTAGTGGGAGCTGCAAGCTTCACGTGCTCTACTTTGGCAGAGAACTTTGGCAAAGTTATCTGTGGTACCCATGAGCTATTGTTGCGTGTGGGAAGTGGGTGATTGAACAGTAAGATTCATGTGCTTTCTACTTCACCAGAAGTCTTCGACAGAATGCCCATAATTTCTGCAAAGCTGAGTGTGCGTGTGACAGGTGCTGACAAGGCTAGAAAAGTAGGTGCCTCTTCGATTTCTGAGATCGGCCCTCATGGTCTCTAAGCAGCCCAGCTTTTGAGAAAGCGAGCGCCTCTTCGATTGATTCGGAGAACGATGCCTCATCGATTTTTGAGAAAGCAATCATGCTAGGGGTCTGGCTCTCGAAGATTCGGGGAGCAGTGTCTCTTCGATTTTTGAGAAAGTAATCATGTTGGGAGTCTGGCTCTCGAGATTCGGAGGGCGGTGCCTCTTCGATTTTGGAGCAAGCAATCTTGTTGAGAGTGTTTTCTCGAATGTGAGTAAAGGTTGGGCATGTTTGCTAGTCTACCTTGCCACGAAGCACAGAGGTTGACACACAGGGACTTTCCAATTATCCAGCAATGGTACTGTTCCTTTACCCTCTCTTCGATTTTTAAGAAAGTAGTCATGTTGGGAGTCTGGCTCTCGAGATTCGGAGGACGGTGCCTCTTCGATTTTGGAGCAAGCAATTTTATTGGGAGTGTTTTCTCGAATGTGAGTAAAGGTTGGGCATGTTTGCTAGTCTACCTTGCCACGAAGCACAAAGGTTGACACACAGGGACTTTCCAATTATCCAGCAGTGGTACTATTCCTTTACCCTTGTGGGTAATAATATGGTAGCTAGACCTTCAAAATTTATGGGTCTAAACTTTGTTAGTGCTGTTTCTTTGCTATTCTTTTACCCTTCTTGGTCAGAGCGATGTAGTGGGAGCTGCAAGCTTCACGTGCTCAACTTTGGCAGAGAACTTTGGCAAAGTTATCTGTGGTACCCATGAGCTATTGTTGCGTGTGGGAAGTGGGTGATTGAACAGTAAGATTCATGTGTTTTCTACTTCCCCAGAAGTCTTCGACAGAATGCCCATAATTTCCGCAAAGCTGAGTGTGCGTGTGATAGGTGCTGACAAGGTTGGAAAAGTAGGTGCCTCTTCGATTTCTGAGATCGGCCCTCGTGGTCTCTGGGGAGCCCAGCTTTTGAGAAAGCGAGCGCCTCTTCGATTTCTGAGATCAGCCTTCGAGGTCTTTGAGCAGCCCAACTTTTGAGAAAGCAAACGCTTATTCGATTTCTGAGATCAACCCTCGTGATCTCTAAGCAGCCCAGCTTTTGAGAAAGCAAACGCCTCTTCGATTTCTGAGCAGGCGCCTCTTCGATTTCTGAAGCTCCGTCGAGTGCAGATTTTTATAGGGGCTGGCATTAAGTTCCAAAGCACACTTGAATCTCCACCAGTAGAAGCTTCATTCTTGCACTTCTAAGATCTTGATTTGTCCGACCTCTTCTCTCTTCAACACCTTTGAAAATGTCTGGCCCCTCCGACCGTCATTTTGACTTGAACCTTGTTCAAGAGGCAGCCCCGCCTTCTCCAGACAACATATGGCGCCCATCCTTCGTCTCCCCTACTGGTCCTCTTACCGTTGGGGATTCCGTGATGAAGAATGATGACCGCTGCGGTGGTGGCCAGGAACCTTCTCACTCCCAAAGATAACAGACTACTTTCCAAACGGTCTGATGAGTTAGCTGTTAAGGATTCGCTGGCTCTCAGTGTTCAGTGTGCAGGTTATGTGTCTAATATGGCCCAACGCCTATTTGCTCGAACCCGCCAAGTTGAATCATTGGCGGCTGAAGTGATGAGTCTCAAACAGGAGATTAGAGGGCTCAAGCATGAGAATAAACAGTTGCACCGGCTCGCACATGACTATGCTACAAACATGAAGAGGAAGCTTGACCAGATGAAGGAAACTGATGGTCAGGTTTTACTTGATCATCAGAGATTTGTGGGTTTGTTCCAAAGGCATTTATTGCCTTCGTCTTCTGGGGCTGTACCGCGTAATGAAGCTCCAAATGATCAACCTCTGATGCCTCCTCCTTCTAGGGTTCTGTCCAGTACTGAGGCTCCAAATGATCCCCATCCGGTGCCTGCTCTTTCTGGGGCTCTACCGACTGCTGAGACTTCTCCTAAGCAACCTTTGTGAAAGCTCCCTCTTGTGTGTTTATTTTGACTCATGTATATGTACATATTTATAGTTTATCGGAGATATCAATAAATAAGCTTTCCTTCATTTCAACGTATTGTGTTAAATACACCAAAGCCTTCTTCGCTAAGTTCTTTGAATTTTCTTTTGTTGAAGCTTGTATGTTGAAGCTTTCTGAGTGGAGCATGTAGGTTGGGGTAGTGTTCCCTTAATTTTCCGAGTGAGGAAAACTTCTCGGTTGGAGACTTGGAAAATCCAAGTCACTGAGTGGGATCGGCTATATGAATCTTAGAACGCCATTGTGTTGGATCCTGTGTCATGTCCTTCGTTAGATCCAAGTACTCTAAGTCTTTTCTTAGAGTCTCTTCCAAAGTTTTCCTAGGTCTTCCTCTACCCCTTCGGCCCTGAACCTCTGTCCCATAGTCGCATCTTCTAATCGGAGCATCAGTAGGCCTTCTGTGCACATGTCCAAACCACCGTAACCGATTTTCTCTCATCTTTCCTTCAATTTCGGCTACTCCTACTTTACCCCGGATATCCTCATTCCTAATCTTATCCTTTCTCGTGTGCCCACACATCCAACGAAGCATCCTCATCTCCGCTACACCCATTTTGTGTACGTGTTGATGTTTCACCGCCCAACATTCTGTGCCATACAGCATCGCCGGCCTTATTGTCGTCCTATAAAATTTTCCCTTGAGCTTCAGTGGCATACGGCGGTCACATAACACGCCGGATGCACTCTTCCACTTCATCCATCCAGCTTGTATTCTATGGTTGAGATCTCCATCTAATTCTCTGTTCTTTTGCAAGATAGATCCTAGGTAACGAAAACGGTCGCTCTTTGGTATTTCTTGATCTCCGATCCTCACCCCTAACTCGTTTTGGCCTCCATTTGCACTGAACTTGCACTCCATATATTCTGTCTTTGATCGGCTTAGGCGAAGACCTTTAGATTCCAACACTTCTCTCCAAAGGTTAAGCTTTGCATTTACCCCTTCCTGAGTTTCATCTATCAACACTATATCGTCTGCGAACAGCATACACCAAGGAATATCATCTTGAATATGTCCTGTTAACTCATCCATTACCAACGCAAAAAGGTAAGGACTTAAGGATGAGCCTTGATGTAATCCTACAGTTATGGGAAAGCTTTCGGTTTGTCCTTCATGAGTTCTTACGGCAGTCTTTGCTCCTTCATACATATCCTTTATAGCTTGGATATATGCTACTCGTACTCCTTTCTTCTCTAAAATCCTCCAAATAATGTCTCTTGGGACCCTATCATACGCTTTTTCCAAATCTATAAAGACCATGTGTAAATCCTTTTTCCCATCTCTATATCTTTCCATCAATCTTCGTAAGAGATAGATTGCCTCCATGGTTGAGCGCCCTGGCATGAACCCGAATTGGTTGTCCGAAATCCGTGTCTCTTGCCTCAATCTATGCTCAATGACTCTCTCCCAGAGCTTCATTGTATGACTCATTAGCTTAATACCCTTATAGTTCATGCAATTTTGTACGTCGCCCTTATTCTTGTAGATAGGCACCAAAGTGCTCGTTCGCCACTCATTTGACATCTTCTTCGTTTTCAAAATCCTATTGAAAAGGTCAGTGAGCCATGTTATACCTGTCTCTCCCAAAAGTTTCCACACTTCGATTGGTATATCGTCTGGGCCTATTGTTTTTTTATGCTTCATCTTCTTCAAAGCTACAACCACTTCTTCCTTCCGGATTCGACGATAAAAAGAGTAGTTTCTACACTCTTCTGAGTTACTCAACTCCCCTAAAGAAGCACTCATTTCATGTCCTTCATTGAAGAGATTATGAAAATAACCTCTCCATCTGTCTTTAACCGCGTTCTCTGTAGCAAGAACCTTTCCATCCTCATCCTTGATGCACCTCACTTGGTTTAGGTCCCTTGTCTTCTTTTCCCTTGCTCTAGATAGTTTATAGATATCCAACTCTCCTTCTTTGGTATCTAGTCGTTTATACATATCGTCGTAAGCCGCTAACTTAGCTTCTCTGACAGCTTTCTTCGCCTCTTGCTTCGCTTTTCTATACCTTTCACCATTTTCATCGGTCATCTCCTTGTATAAGGCTTTACAACATTCCTTCTTAGCCTTCACCTTTGTTTGTACCTCCTCATTCCACCACCAAGATTCCTTTTGGTGTGGGGCAAAGCCCTTGGACTCTCCTAATACCTCTTTTGCTACTTTTCGGATACAACTAGCCATGGAATCCCACATTTGGCTAGCTTCCCCCTCTCTATCCCACACACATTGGGTGATTACCTTCTCTTTGAAAAATGGCTTGTTTTTCTTCTTTTAGATTCCACCATCTAGTCCTTGGGCACTTCCAAGTCTTGTTCTTTTGTCTTACTCTTTTGATATGTACATCCATCACCAACAAGCGATGTTGATTAGCCACGCTCTCTCCTGGTATAACTTTGCAATCCTTACAAGTTATACGATCCCCTTTCCTCATTAGAAGAAAATCTATTTGTGTTTTTGACGACCCACTCTTGTAGGTGATCACATGTTCTTCTCTCTTCTTAAAGAAGGTGTTGGCTAAGAAGAGATCATATGCCATTGCAAAATCCAAGATAGCTTCCCCATCCTCGTTTCTCTCCCCAAAACCATGGCCACCATGAAAACCTCCATAGTTGCCTGTCTCCCTGCCCACGTGTCCATTTAAATCTCCTCCTATAAATAACTTCTCCGTCTGAGCAATTCCTTGCACCAAGTCTCCAAGATCTTCCCAAAATTTCTCCTTCGAACTCGTATCCAACCCTACTTGAGGTGCGTACGCACTAATCACATTGATAAGTTCTTGTCCTATTACAATCTTGATTGCCATGATTCTATCTCCTACCCTCTTGACATCTACAACATCTTGTACCAAGGTCTTGTCCACGATGATGCCAACACCGTTTCTCGTTCTATTTGTGCCCGAATACCAAAGTTTAAACCCTGAGTTTTCTAGATCCTTTGCCTTACTACCAACCCACTTAGTTTCTTGTAGGCACATAATATTTATCCTTCTCCTCACCATCCTTACTACCAACCCACTTAGTTTCTTGTAGGCACATAATATTTATCCTTCTCCTCACCATAACTTCCACTACTTCCATAGATTTTCCCGTTAAGGTTCCTATATTCCACGTTCCTAAACGCATTTTGCTCTCTTGAACTCTACCCTTCTGTCCTAGCTTCTTCAGGGTCTGGGAGAGGTGAATGTCGGCTAGCCTTACCCCCATTTTATGGAGAGCCTGCTCCCAAGTCTCGAACCCGAGACCTACCGCTCATGGGCGAAGGCACTTGCCATCGCACCAAGTGCGACCAGAGTGAGTAAACAATATTGAACCAAATACACATGAATAATTGATTGGAGATAAAAATAAAAATTACCTCTGATATCTGGAATATGATAAATCTTTGGCCATTCTGGGCCACTGTTCTTGGCGCATCTTTCTGCCAGACGTTGGTGATTGGTATTTAGTCTTTGGTTACTATTATCTTTAGTAAATGGAGTAGACTTGTACTTGAAAGTTGATGACCAAATTGACAACTGCCTCCTCTTCATTTGGCTGCAATGAAATCCTAACTAGCTACCCAGCAAATGGTGTTGTCATGGAACCTGCATTTGTGGAATATGAACATCTGGAATTCACTCAAGGTGAATTATGGTATGGTGAAATCGTAACATGAGTTTCTTCATTTGAGCCTGGAGTTCCTTCTCGATGCCTAGACACCTCCATTTCCAGAAATTGTGTTAGTTGGCACATCACAAAACTCATGGTGGCTCTATGTTGGGAGGTATGCAAAGCTGCCTCTGATGCTTTCCAGACCGAATTCACATTGAACTCTCCTCGAAGCCCTTGATCCAAAATAGTTGTTCAATTCCCGTTCTGGAACTCAAGATTCACCTACTCCACTATGTGGACAAGATCATCATTTTCTATGATTGCAGGTTGGCTAGTAAAACCCTAAACATCAATTTTTTTTTTCCTTCAACCTTGCTAATTATAGTATCTGCAGACCAAATAAAGTAATCATAGATCACTCACTGCTCATAGAATTCACATTGAACTCTCCTCGAAGCCTTTGATCCTAAATAGTTGTTCAATTCCCGTTCTGGAACTCAAGATTCACCCGCTCCACTATGTGGACAAGATCATCATTTTCTATGATTGCAGGTTGGCCAGTAAAACCCTAAACATCAATTTTTTTTTCCTTCAACCTTGCTAATTATAGTATCTGCAGACCAAATAAAGTAATCAAAGATCACTCACTGCTCATAGATTTTTTTTTTTTTTTAACATGATCAAAATTCTAAGAACAGTAGAACACGAAATCTGAACATGCTCGGAATCAAGATACCTTGCTGTGCCCATGAACGATGCCACCAGAGTCTCATTGTCACTGGGAAAAACCATGGACAGACCAAAATCTGCTATTTTGCATCCAAGTTTTAATTCAGGAGAATGTTGGCAGTCTTTACATCTCTATGCACAATACTGGATTGTGAATATATAGTAGCACAAAAAATAACACTAAGCACCTATCTAACGCAATATCTAATGCCATCCAAAGTCTCATTTCCCAAGTTTATGTGAGCTCCTATCTGCTTCTGCAACCATTAACGTGACACTTCAATATTTTGAAACCCTCTGTTGGAGGACAATGCTATGTAAAATATAGAATTACATACCTGATCAGAGATATTCTTTTAGGTTTTCATTAGGCATGTACTTGTATATAAGTGCCAACTTGTCAGTATCACACAGTATCCAATAAACGAGGCCAAGTTTCTATGATGGATTCTCATCGGGAGCTCAACCTGCAGCCACAAGGAACTCATCAATCTCTAACCAAAGAGACAAGGCATTTAACTTGCATCCAAGGAATTAAATTCAAACTGTCAAACCTCTGTTTGGAACTCCCTAGCTGAGCTAGCTCCTTGAGATGACGATGTAGAACCACAACTTGAGTGCCATATTTCAACTAGCCATGGTATACAATCCCAAATCCTCCTTTCCCGATTTCCGTTTTAAAGATTTCGGTGATTTCTAAAACCTCGTCATAAGTGAACTAGGACTTCTGATGCTACAGGAGTTTTGTTACGTGTTTCTCCATCTGCAGCTCAAGTAGACAAAAAGATATGAGTTCAGACTAACTGGTTAGGAATACCACTACACCATAGTAGGAGCGCCGGTTCTAATTGAATTAAGTATCAAAAAGATATGAGTTCAGACTAACTGGTTAGGAATACCACAACACCATTTGCTTTGGTTAAAGAAAATGCTAACCTATTCGGTGCTCTCCATGAATGAAACTTGCACAGAGCAGTAGGACAAGGAAATCAATTGAGATCATCTTCTCTCTTTGTCTCACTGCAGCCTATGAACTACCTGGTATTTATTATGCGTGACAATGTTCTGACCAAAAAAGCAGAAAAACGTATATGACAGTGTGGATTTGTACCTTATGCTGCACAACTTTACATGAAATCATTCTAGGTGAAATCGTAATATGAGTTTCTTCATTTTAGACTGGAGTTCTTTGTTGATGCGTAGACACCTCTATTCCATACATTGTGTTAGTTGGCACAGCACAAAACCCATGGTGGCTCTATGTTGGCAGGTGATAGTTGTGCATGCCATTGCTGTCTCTAAAGCTTTCCAGACTGAATTCACATCGAACTCTCCTCGAATCATTCGATACAAAATAGTTGTTAAATCCCATTCTGGAACTCAGGGTTCACCCACTGCACTATGTGGACAAAATCATCACTTTCTATGATTGCAGGTTGGCCAGTAAAACAGTAAAAATCAATTTTTTTAATGCAACCCTTGATAACTATAGTACCTGCAGACCAAAAAATGTAATCACAAATAAACCACTCACTGTTCATACATTTGTGTTTATAACATGATAAAAAATCTAATAGCACATGGAAATTTGAACATACTCTTGATCAAGATAACCTGCTCTGCCCATGACCGATGTCACCACACAAGTCTCATTATCACTGGAAAAAAAACCATGGACAGACCGAAATCTGCTATTTTGTGCATCTAAGTTTCCGTTATGCTGTGCTTGCTCTCCCCTCCTAATGCAATTCTCTTACTGGAATCCCTTCTTAAGTGAGCTGAAATACAAATCCAATTTTATCTGTGATTAATGTATTCTAGATAACTTGACATGGTTTCATTCAAGGATGAATGCTTTGAACAAAGAAGTTACATATTGACAAAACAGATTACCTTCCATAAAATTGGTCTAATAAAACTCTGTGAGTTGAGAGGACGTGCACACAGTGAGAAGAAGCACAACCTTGTACAAAAGTGCATCTGCACCATAACAAGTAAAAACCATGCGCAACATGCCTTAGAACATATTTGCAAACCAAATGGAACTAAGACAAGAGAAGAGAACAAATCATGAATTACAGTTTCGGGAAAGAAACCTACACTTGACTGTGGGAAATGCGAGAAATCTTGGGCTTGTTTGAATTTAGAACGCAATAGTAAAATTTGGATTGGCTTCCCTACTGCAGATAGATAGTTGAGATTCCCACAACGGTGAATAGATAGATGGTGGATTCATGAAAGGTTCCGTCATCACTCTGGTAAGAGCCTTTTCAATCATCAAGTGACAATCATCTAATTCTGCAGAAAACGAGAGTGGATGAAGAATTTTGAACAAAATATACATGGATAATTGATTGGCCCCAAAAATAAAACTTACCTCAGATCTGGAATGTGATAAATCTTTGGCCATTCTGGGCCGCTGGCCAAAAATAAATCTTTGGCGCATCTTTCTGCCAGACGGGGACACCCATGAATCACTAGATTATGTAATTTGGTTAGGCGTTGCGTAGCTTCGACCGTAGGCAGATACATCAGGTCCTTGCAGTACCAAATTCCCAACTTAGTAAGAGATGTGAGGTTGCCCAACCACTCTGGAAGAGCCTCCAGACCATCGAAATCCCAAATTTCCAACTTAGTTAGAGAAGCAGAGTGTTGAATTTGCTGAGGCAGAGACTTGAGCTTAGGCCACCCCTTCAATTTTAATTCTTCAAGTTTCGATGGGACCTGAAAATCAGGGAAAGAATCGAGCTCTTGGCAGAAGGCACCGATCGACAACACTTCCAAACGAGATAGAGAGTGCAGCCCCTTGGGCAAATATTGTAATTTCCCACAATTACATAATTCCAAACGAGATAGAGATTGCAAGCTGGACACATTGTGATCCGCCAGAGATATCAAATTGGAGCAATTACTGACCCTTAATTCGGTAAGAGATGTGCAGTATGCAAGCCCACTCGGTAGACTTATTAATCCATCACATCGATAAATAATGAACTCAGTGAGGGACGTGAGGTTGTCTAAACTGGGAATAGCCTCTAGATTAGGGCATTCACTGACGCACAAACAGGTAAGAGATGTGCAGTATGCAAGCCCACTCGGTAGACTTATTAATCCATCACATCTCCTAATTTCTAAATTAGTGAGGGACGTGAGGTTGTCTAAACTGGGAATAGCCTCTAGATTAGGACAATCCCGTATTTCCATCTTCTCAAGAGAGACGGGGGTTTGTAGCCCATGACCCGACAAAGTCCTCAAATTTCGACAATCCCGGATACACAGTGTGCGAAGACTAGTACAGGAAGGGAGCCCACTCAGTATACTTGTGAATCCATCACATTCCCAAATAATCAAATCAGTGAGGGACGTGAGGTTGTCTAAACTGGGAATATCCTCTAGATTACAGCAATAGCTGACATCCAAACGGGTAAGAGATGTGCAGTATGCAAGCCCACTCGAAAGACTTATTAATCCATCACATCCCCTAATAATCAACTCAGTGAGGGACGTGAGGTTGTCTAAACTGGGAATATCCTCTAGATTACAGCAATAGCTGACATCCAAATGGGTAAGAGATGTGCAGTATGCAAGCCCACTCGAAAGACTTATTAATCCACCACATCCCCTAATAATCAACTCAGTGAGGGACGTGAGGTTGTCTAAACTGGGAATAGCCTTTAGATTAGGGCAATCCCATATTTCCATCTTCTCAAGAGAGACGGGGGTTTGTAGCCCATGACCTGACAAAGTCCTCAAATTTGGACAATGCCGAATACTTAGTGTGCGAAGACTGGTACAAGAATGGAGCCCACTCAGTATACTTGTAAATCCATTGCAATTTTCAATAAACAAATCACGGAGGGATGTGCAACCGTTTAAAGACAACTCCTCCACCTGCTGTTGTTGTTGTAGGTTTTCCGACTCCTCAAGAGACGTACATTTTTTAATAACCAATTTGCAGAGTGAGGGCAGACTGTGAATTGAAGTGCATCTTAGCTTTGGGCAACCAACTATTTTGAACTCCTGAAGAGATTGGGATGGTGAAATTTGGAAGGATTCTAGATTGCTGCAATCCTCAATTTCCACCGTCTCAAGTGATGGGCAATATTCTAACCCACAACACAAGCTCGAAAATTTCTCACAGCTCATAATTCTCAATTTACGGAGGGATGTGCAACCGTTTAAAGACAAGTCCTCCACCTGCTGATGTTGTTGTAGGTTTTCCGACTCCTTAAGAGACGTACATTTTTCAATAACCAATTTGCGGAGTGAAGGCAGACTGTGAATTGAAGTGCATCTTAGCTTTGGGCAACCAACTATTTTCAACTCCTGAAGAGATTGGGATGGTGAAATTTGGAAGGATTCTAGATTGCTGCAATCCTTAATTTCCACCGTCTCAAGTGATGGGCAATATTCTAACCCACAACACAAGCTCGACAATTTCTCACAGCTCATAATTCTCAATTGACGGAGATTGGTTACTTGACAATTTCTCATCATCCAAGATGCAAATTTAGTACCCTTGAATTCCTCAATCGTCAAGCTTTTTAAGTTGGGGTGTGGTTGAAGCCCTTCAAGAATATCCTCGTCAAGAAAATTGCCATTTCTTTCTTTCCCCCATTTTAATATCAATTTTTGTAAGTATGCTTTTTCCACTAATTTTGATTTCATTGCTTCTTCCTTGTCTCTCACATATTCCAATGCTCCAATAACTAGTTTCCCTTTCAATTCATTTAACCCGCCCAGCTCATCAAGTCTATGACGCCTATCTTCATCCAAATTAAAGGAAGGTAGCGTTTGAAGATGAGTCAATCTTGTCATCCCAAATGGAACTTCCACATTATTGTCGAAATAAACATGTCTCAAGTTGATCAAATTTTCCATTTCCCTAGGAAACGTTTTAAGAGCCCACATCCTTGACATTCTTAACGTTTGAAGATTATACAGCTTGCCAACAGATTTAGGGAGTTCTTTCATTTCTGTCTCGGAAATGTTGAGATACCTCAAGCGTTTCAACTTTCCAATTGAACTGGGCAACTCCTCTATTTCAACACGGAATAAATTCAACGTTCGTAAAGCTCTAAACTTTTGGAAGATGTTACTGAACTCAAAGCGTCGTGGAGGAAACAACGACCGCAATCTCCTTTGTGGAAATCTGTCGAGTGTTGTGGAAGAAATTCGGGCAACATGTTGAATCTCATCAAGTGCTCCAACATCCATCTGATCCAAGTCTCGTGTCAAGCTTTCAAATTTGAATACTTTCTCAGCAAGATCATGCACAAGATCGTGCATCGTGCATATGGTATACCCATGGTCATCTTCTCTTTCTCTTCTATGTGCATACTCATGGTTTCTAGCATCTTGAAATAAAGAGTTTTGCAATAGAATATTAAAATGTTCATTACCTTTATCCTCCATGGGAGAAGAATGGAGATATCCTTGAGCCATCCAAAGTTGGACCAAGTCATCTTTGTCAATTTCACAATCTTTTTCAAACATTGAGCAATATGCAAAACATTGCTTCAATGATGGCTCTCTTAAATTATCAAAACTCAACTTCAAGATCGACATGATTTGGTCATCTCCATCTCGTAATTCCCATATTTTACTTTCTAGAATTGACGACCATTCCTGTGAACGCATCAAGCTTCCTAAAACCTGTTGATACATAAGATAATTAGTTTCTATATGTTTTACAATATAAAAAGCTCATTAGCAAAATAATAACAGTGCCAAATTATAGTTTTATTGAATTTTGACTATAGTTATTGGCAAGATAAAGACGCATTGAACTCAACTTTGTTTTGTATCGATGAATAGTCAAAGACTGCTCTTGTTAGAAGAGAAATACAAAAGGGACTTTCTAGCCAAGTAAGAATTGGTCTCAGAATTAATTGAAAGATACTTTATTAGATCAGTTAAATATAAGTTTTAATTTTTTAGTACCTCAATATATTTTTACACTAAAGGGATGGAGAGTTCGGCTAAACTACACAACAGACAATTTAATTTGGTATCGAATTCGTCATCCACAAGATTTGAACCTAAGGTCTCTTACTTCCAAGTGAAGAGGAATACTTGATACTGTAGTACTAAGAGGCTATAAGTGTCAATTAGATACTTAAGATAACTGAGTAATTGAATGGTTCGTAACAATGCACTAGGAAGGTAGTATTTTGAAGGAGTGCTTTGATCCACATTTTCTAGAGTGTTTACATGTATATATAAGGTTAAGATTCAGAGACACTCATTTTTGAAACATATTTTAACATAAGTTTTCGTGGCTTTCATTCTGTAATTTTTTTTTCAAGGATCTCAATCATTTATATTTCAATTAATCATTCATAGATCTTTCGTGTAAAAAATTAGACAATTCCAAACTCATTTTGACATTTATTTGTAGTGAAGAAAAAAGCCGCTACAATTCTACAAAGATACACTAAATTTACGCAGTCGTGCGATAAGTGAACTATTCTTTCGCCTTTTACTAAAGAAACACTAAATTTGATCCAATGGTCATATGACTTCAGATTTGGATGATTTTTTTTTATATAGATGATATTTTAGGGAAGACGTAAAATATAAGATGGTTAGATCGTTGAAATACATTACACACACACAATATATATATAGGCCCCCTAAGGGAAGGGATCCTTTTTTTTTTAAAAAAAATGGACACTCTTTTGACTGTTAGATTTAGCTTTAATGAAATTATGTGGTTGAGATTAAATCACAGGCCACAGAATTTCATTAAAGCCAAATCTAATGGTCAAGAGGGTGTCCCCATTTTTTAAAACTTACAAGAAATGTGAACTACGAATGACTTGAGAAATTTTAAAACTTACAAGAAATGTGAACTACGAATGACTTAATCTCGTCTTTGAGTACATGAGACATAAAGGTTAGATGCATCCATGTGATAAAAGAGAAGTTACTACGTTATTGACCTGTTGGTTTGTTTTTTGCCATGTCTTAGAAATGAGACATGACAGTTAGGTAGGTACATTCTAAAGTCACATGTCGGTCCTGTAGAAATCTCCGAATGGGATTCTACTAAGTACAAATTCTTTATAGAGGAAGCTAGCAATGTACGTCTTGGACACATTCCTATTGCGACCCATTTTTGTGTGTAATTAATGTCGCATATTACAAACTTATTTCTAAACCACTCATTCATCGTTCAAGACCCAAGAAGTTTTTATTCCCATTCGATTGATTGATTTAACATGGGATATGGGATAGATGTTATAGAAACCAACCACTTGAATCATATTTTACAGATCACATGATGTGTTAGCTCATGGTTGGATTCATTCTTTAAAGAGTGGTGATATTCCCACCCCGGTGTCTTATTTCCCCACCCACCATTTAATGAAAATGTTAATAACATATTTATCCTTTTAAAAGAAGACTCTTAAACCCCTATTTAATTCAGTAATAAAATCTTGAAAAAACAAAAAATAATTTAAAATAATAAATAAATAATGGTAGATGGGGTGTGATATCTTTGGTGGAAAGAGGTTGGGAAAGATTTGGGTTAGAATCGACGGAAAGGTTGGAGGAATGAATGGGCGTGTGCTAGACGAAGGCGAGAAACTTCAATGGACAAAAAAGAGAATTGAGTGTGAGATCTGCGGTTTTGACAAAATAGGAGGAAGAAGAGTGGTTTGGGGGTCCGAGGTCTCTGCAGGACGACGATAGGTGTGAAGGAGATGATGAATGTCTAGGTCTTAGGTCTTGCATTTTCTTTCATTTTTTTCTATTTTTATTTATTTATTTATAATATTATTTAAAAATATATTAGAGTTATTTAAAAAAATATATTATGGTTATTTTGGGAATAATGGTGGGTGGGGAAATAACATTTTACTTTTTTAATTTTTTTATGATGGGTGGGATTATCATGTGGGTGGGAAAATAGGACATTAGGGTGGGTCTAATAACACTCTTCTTTAAATCATTAAATAAACAATCCAACCATCAATCGCTACATCATAGGATCTAAATACGGTCTCCTACTACCTATCTTAAATTGCAACAAAACTTGATACGGAAAACAGTTTGTTTTATAATCGTTATCGATTAGCATCATCTTTCTCTATGATTAAAACAGTTCGGCTTTAATGACACTAGGACCAAATCTTAAAATCGTTATCAATTAGCATCATCTTTCTCCTGAACCCCAATCATCAAGAAAATAGTGGTAATTACTGTTAGATCTTAATCCAACAATATAAAAAGGGAACTATTATCTGCACTCCACAAATTTCATTATACACTCCTCACAAGTGTATTTTTCTTTTTAATTATAAAAAACTTGGAGTGCAAAATGAGATTTTTGGAATGATAATAACAATTCCCTATAAAAAAAATCACAACAAAAAAATGAACTAAGCACTAATAGTTAGTTTAAGATCGAACGGCGGATGACCATGCATGGTCACTAGGCTCTTGGAGAACAATTATATTGGGTTTGATATGGTCTCTTCTGTTTGTGGTTAATTCGCTATTCAATCGTATTGACTTCAAACCTCTGTCGCTCAGAGAAATAGAGGAAAGAAATCGAGCAAAATTTCAAAGCCAATTCTATGTTTGTCTCCTCTAAGAAATTTATAGTAATATTGTTGATGTAATTAAATTACTCCATATTTGTATAGTTTATAATTTAACATTTGTTTATACGACTGTATGCATAACGTTTTTCTATTCCTCACCCTTTTCTTTTCCTTTTTGTTTTTACTTTCTTTTCGTCTTCTTTCTCCTTCGTTTTGTTCTAAAACATTTTCTTGATTAGAATTTATTGCATCATGAAATCTTCTTCATTTTTTTGTGGTTTGCTAGTTATCTTTTTAGTTTTTTACCTCACGCATCATCTATTTTGTATTTTATTCAATTTTTTCCTCATGGATTATCTACCTGTGATGTAGGTCTCCTAATTTTTTTTCTTTTATGGAAGGTTTCCTCTACTTAGCATGTTATTTATCTACCTATAACACATGATTTTTTTAAAGGAGACTTTGGATGTGGTCCTTAGTTATGAATATTCTTTGATTGAAATCTTGTTGGTTTTTAATTTTTGATCGAGATCATTGAAATTAATGTGATAATTTATTTCTTTTTACGTTACTATATTATTTTAAATTATAAATTAGAAATTTTAGTTGTTTATATAAATGAGATTTTAAATAAATAAAAAACATAATTTGTGGGATTAAAAATATAAATATACTATTGTGTGTGTGTATACATGGGTTCATTCATCAAAATTAACCAAAAACTTTATTGTATCAAAACATGGGTACATTCTTCAAAAATCACAAAAAAAAAGATATTAGTTTAATAACATTAGTAAATTTCTTCGATTAAACTTGACATGGATACATTTTAAAATCAAAGAAAAAAGAATATACCCATATAAGTTTAAAAATGGATTAGAAAAAAAATTGAATAGATTTTATATAAAAAAAGGGTACATTTTACATATAAAAATTGGTATATTTAAGAATGAGTACATTTTAAGATTAAAAAGTTTTACATGAATGGGTACATATAATTAGCATTGGTACATTTAGCAAAATAAAAAGTACAAATAAAAATATATATATGGGTACAAATACAAATAAACTTTAAAAAATATGGGTACAAAAAGAAATTAATATATGGGTACAAATTAAAACTGAAAAGAAAATTGGTACAAGTTAAAAAAAATTACAACTTAAAAATGGTAACAAACTAAAACTAAAAATATATGATAAAAAATTTAGTCATAAATATAAATATACTAATTGTAACATTTTTAACAATAAATGAATATATTTAGAAATAAAAAAATATTTTATTATTGAAATAATTAATGATGTTATTAATACCCAAAAACCTTTAAAATTTTGAAAATGAATAGGATTTTAATCAATAAAGTGGCAAAATGAAAGATGAAAATCTAATTTCTTTTTTTTTTTTTAATCTACTTCTGTCACAGACTCACAGGTTTCCTAGATAAATGTATGTTTGAATTTGGATAAATAATTAAAATTTAAAATTATGTAACTAATGCATTATTTAGGAGTTCAATTATCTGCTATTTTTTTAAGGTGAAATAGGAGTAAAAAGTAGTAGTTCCAACAAAAAAACATAATTGGACTCCCTAAAATGCAGCCTATGATTTCGGGCTTCTATCTAAAAACCCTAATATAATAATATATGAATGCATACCTTTGCCGCCAATGGTAGACCAGCACACTTTTTAGCTATGGCCCTTCCAATGCACTCTTTATCTGAATCTAGAGAAGATGGTAGTGCTTCACCCTTTAATACAGACCAACAATCCTCCTCCGATAGGCCCTCCAAATCACACCTCGGCATTGTCTCAATGATTGGCATTGTCTCAAAGATTGATGCAACATTAGCACTACGGGTAGTAACAATGGCAATGCTTCCGGGACCAGAATTGAGTTTCGACAAACAATCCATAAACTCCCTCCAAAAATTCATCTCTTCGTTCCAAACATCATCGATTATCAGAATATACCTATTGTCTTTCAACTTTTCTGCGAGCTCCTTCAGCAATGCTTCCCGAGCTGTAAGTCCTGCCTTCGTTGGGTCAAGGGATTCTAACATCCGATTTAGAATCGAATTAACCTCAAAAGTGTCGGATACACACACCCATATTTTTCAACAAAAGGCGTACAAATAGCATCATCATTGAATATTGATTTTGCCAAAGTCGTCTTTCCGAGTCCTCCGATTCCCACAACGGTCATAACCGAAAGGTTCTTTTCCTGAGTCTTGGACATCAAGATTTTAATGATATCCGACACAATTTCCTCCCTTCCAATGATCTTGTCATTCTGACAGAATCTCGAGTCAGTTTCTCTGTTCCTCATAATTGGAGGAGGGGTATGATCTACTGGCCTTACAGCTAAGCCAATGGAAGGTGCCTCACTCTTGAGACCCGCCAGGGACGCATTGATGTTCTTAATCTTGTGTGCCATCTTTTGACGAAATAAAATGGGATTGGAGGGCGAAAAGAAGTTAAGTACCTTCTTCTTCATGTGGTTTTCAATTTCTACTTTACGCCGGAGAACTTCGTAGTTGATGTCCTCCAAGACGTCATCAGCATCATGAGCCACGTCTTTCAGTTTCTTGACCCAGTTTCTGACTGCCACGCTCCGATCCTGTGGTTTGTGGGCAACATCGCCTAAGTACTCTTGAATCTCAAGTGACGATTGACGAAGCTTAGTTAGCTCTTTATTGAATCCTCGGAAAAGACCAATTTCTTGAGCAGCAAGTGAACCGACCGACTTCAGTATTCCCTCCACCGGATAAGTGATGATACCTTGTAGCACATCCATACTCGCGCGACAAAGGGAGATTAGAGAGTAGAAGGCAGAGAACTGAGAGAAAGCCAAGGAAGGACACAAGAAGAGCGAATAAGTTGAATGAAAGGCTTAACAATAATTCAAGAAAATGTAGTATAATAAGAAGAAAGGACCCTTATAATTGACGCCACTTTACAGCTGTGAGCGTGAACATAATGTTCAAGAGTGGAGTGTGGTCCAGCAATATAAACCCATCTTGTCAGCAAAGATTCTTTCTAAACAACTTTAGTCAATAGTGGAGGCCGACTTTAATAAAGTAATGAGGATTTAATATAAAAGATGAAAATGAGGTCTTGTTATTTAGTATTACGATTTAAGAGAAGTTTTAGGTTCGATTCTTGTTAAAGGTAAAGTTGAATCACATTATTACTAAGCTCATACCATTCTTTTTAGTTTGGATAATATTGTTTGTTTATAAATAAATAAATAAAATATAAACCCATCTTATTAGCAAATGTGCTCTAAAAATTAATTACCTAGCATTATTCATATAAAAGATAAAAGATGACAACTTTCACTTAGAAATTATTGAAAATACACTAAAACCTAAAGATGCTGATTCAACATGATAAACAACAGAATTCGGGCTAAAATGCTCATATATCACAACAAAGCAGTGAATTAAATTTGTGATTTTTCTGAAAAGCCGGTTCAATACATAAAACAACCAGAATCCTCCTTGAGAGCAGCGTGGGCAAGTTCTTGAGCCACGGCTTTACCTACTGAAATCTTTCTCCTAACAAGTGAGACGCCGGGTAACTTGTCACGCATCCAAGGCCATCTTGAGCCCTTCATTGAACCCCACCAACATAACGTCCGACTCTGTTCTAATCAAACATGGGCCCCACACGTCCCCACATGGCACATCCCCTGACCCCCGTCTTCCTCAATTTCCCTCCAAGAAAGTTACACGGACATCAACATTCAAGCTGTAGTTTCATCATCCTTCCAACACGCAATATTTTAGTATGCGCATCGAATATTTTGAATTTGATTAGTTTTAGAGACTAAGCTAAATTAAGTTAAAATAAACTAAACTGAACTACTACGGTAATACATGTAATGCAATGTCACATTAAGAAACAGAATAATTAAGAAAAGGGAAAATGAAAATGCAATTACTTTGCTTTTAAATCAACATAAACTTTTTTCTCAAATAATTCAAGAAAATGTGGATAAGAAGATGAGAGCAACATATAAAGATGATAGGACCCTTATAATTGATGCCACTTTACACCTGTGAACTTGATTTGGTGAGACTGAGCACTTTTCTAACCGTAGTGGAGGCATAACATGGCAAAAAAGTGTAAAGCAGAGCAAGAACACATAAATGTAAATCCATTGTATCAGGAAAGATTTTCTCTGGATAACTTTAGACAATAACTAGAAATTATGCCCGCACGTTGCTGCGGGATTAGAAATTGTATAGATAAATATGTTTATAAAGATTACAATGCATTCAATCACTCGCAACCACAATACACTAATTAAAGATGAATTCAAAACTCTAAATAAATGTAAGTTCTCATATTTAAATTCTGTCTCCAAGGTAATCTTCTTGCTCGAAAACTTTGATCCACAAAACCAAATTACATTTTTCAGCAAAAAAGACCACTTTAACAAACCAAATACAATACACAAACACAGCTATTCAATTTAGATTGATTTACATCATAAAAAGTTCATTCAAACAACTAAACGGGCACAAATAAAAAAATTGAAAAACCAACCTTTTTCAAATAGTAACTGCTTCCCAATTCTTAGAACAAAATGCTATCATCTTTTGAACCACACAACTTTCATACAATCAGAAATCATCAAACCCTTTCATACCATCAAGTTTGTGCAAAAATATAAATACCAAATCTCAAACTTAAAAGCCAAAATTAAAATTAGTTAATAAATTGTGAATGTTTTGACGATGGATGATTACGTTATTAGGAGCGTCGTAATTAGATGAAATATGTGTGGTCTGCTCTGATTGACTAAAAAAAGAGAATACCATTGAGAATGGAGGGAGGGGCACATTGACTTGACCCAATAGAATTGCAAAAATGTATTCACAATTCGCAAAAGAAAGAACTCACTTGCTTAACAGGCGCAAGCACGCAAAATTTGCCTGCAACTCTTTTGCCTGAAAAATTAAGAACTCAAATCATGAGTACAGGATTGAGTAAAACAGAACGCTGGAATACATAGAAACACGGATAATTCAAGCATAAACTATCTCTGAAAAATTAATACCTCAAGTTTGTTTTCCCAATCTACACCATAAATATTACTCAAAATTGAACCAGCCTTGACAACAAACTGAGAAAACTCCTTGAAAAAATCTACGATGCTGTAAAACACCCCAAAAGTAGAAGAAAATAAGATGTCAAGAATTCATGAGCAGATAATTATAAGCTAAAGGAAAGAAAGGAGATTGGAAACATACTTTAGCTTTGCAGCTCACAAAATTTGGAAGAGAGAAAATCCATTATCATCAGAACTCTTCTGTGAATTATCCGAATTCTTGTCATTCAAAGTTTTTCCAGAGTACAAAACAAAAGCAAACCAGAATCGTTTTGCTTCTTCAAGCAGTACATAGAAATGCATTTAAGTTAGACCAAATCCAGATTAAAGCAAGTGTTCCAGCAAAGGGATTCTAAAAGAACACCTCAAACCTTATTTCAACATACCATTATTAATATGACTATAGAATGGAGAAATAACAATACATACTATTCCGTTGCCAATGGCTGACGCATTTGATATTAACAGATCTTGCTTTCTTTGAACAGATTTGCAGCTTGCTTGTAAGAGTTCTCGTCCAATGACAATACTTTCTGTAATCAGAACCATATATATCCACAGAAACTAAAATCAAGAAACGACAACATAAACAAAAAGAAATTCAAAAAGTAAATAGAAGTAGTTTATAAACTAAACTTTACAAACAAAATGACATTTACAATAAGAAAGAACAAAACAATAACGTCAATCACAATCGAAAGGGGGCAAAGAGTGGCAACCTTGCACAATTCCATATAAGTATACAAACTAAAGGTCATATATCAAACAAACTCATAAAACCAACATACAATTACATATATCCTTAGCTCCTATGGAAAGAAAAAAATACTTGTACTATATTAATGGCCCTCTTTAAAAAATTAGAGAATAAGCAACTCAACAGCTGCATTGATAATTACAAAAAAAAGTGCATAACTTTTTTATACTGAAAGACTAAAAAACTGAGCAAATTAAACCTTATTTGAAGATGGAACACGTTTGCATTTCACAGAACCAACTAACAAACGAACTCACAACCTTATTTGATAAGAAGTTTGAGTCACTTGCTCCAAATCGTTCTCTTGACAAAAACAAAAACAAACACCCAAAATAAGGAGCTATGTTGGTTCCCAAACATTAACAATTGTTTCACTGGTATCTTTCATCAAACAGGTGGCGATCGCTGCTACTACGCAGGATTGAAGATTAAGTATCTGCAAATTGACCATAAAATAATAACAAAACCGCATCAAAATCCCAATTTTCAATCCCACTGAGCAAAACTAATATGTTAATATAGGAAAATTTTCTTACATATTTCAATATATCCAGAAAAATGGTTTCTTTGGCTTATGAACCTGACATGGACACATGCAACTCCCCTATAGAAATTTAAAAAAAAAAAAAAAACCCAACCTGAAAAACTAAAGGAAATGATTAGACCCAATACTATCTGATGAATTTCCAACAAATTGAACTGGGCTTCAGATAGATCGGCAGAAATTAAAAATGCATTCAAATACATGAACAAATATTAAAACACAAAAATCAAGAGAATTCAACTTTGCAATAAATTGGATCCCAGAACAAAATAATTACCCTCTTGTTACTCCTTAGCTATAAAAATTCCTCAATCTCTATACTACGCAAACGAGTACATATGCCGAGGTCTTCCTATGCTTCAGAAAACACACAAAGATATTGCGTAGAGGTGCGATTCTGTCACTACAAATCCACAATTGGAATCAAATTCTAAACCAATCTGATATATCCGTCTCAGGACCGTACCGCTCAACAGACATTTAAACAATACACTAAGAAGGGAGTGTACAGTACTGACCAAACTATAAGTGCAGAAAAATTAGATACAACCGCCCACTCGGCTACTTGTGTTCATTAAATTAGATGTATCAGTGAAAGGTAACTTCAGGGCTACTAAAACTGTTCACTAACGGCAAGGAATCAATTCTGGGAAAAAGTTCCGATAGGACAGAAACGTAAATTCAGGAATAGCGGATCCATGGTGATATCAGAAATTGTTAATTATAATATGAGGATAGTGACTATTAATTACAAAGATCAACAGTGTAGGACAATGACAATGATATTAGATCACGTGTAATCACAGAGACACAGGACTCGGCGCGCAAGAAGATAATATGATAAGAGAGAAAACGGATTTGCTTTTGGATAAGCAGGGAGAGATTACAGCACAAGACACACGGAAAAGGTGAGACTCATCGTCAAGAGTGAGGTTCCTAAATAGGCGACGAGTGGACACGATGGAGCAGCTATGTATATATATAATAACGAGAGAGATGAGAGATGGGGCTGTTTGATAATTTCATAAGCACGGTACCACTAGGGTCACGTCACGAGCTAGGATTCTTCGAGAGCTCTAGTCTTATATGTTCCAGATGAGTCAGACTGGGATAATAAGGAACCATCCGGAGGAGTTGACGTGTATATCGAGTTTTTTGATTAGCCAAGCAGAAGAGCTCGGCAGTAGTCTTGCTGCCTTCTCACGCACTGCACACATGCAGGTGAGTAGAGAGCGCGTACTATCAGTACGAACAGACGTGTCTACTATGGCATCATACTTCCGATTCCGCTTCGATCGGATCAGCGGTGGCAGTGCAGGGACATGGCTCCAGAAATCCATCCCTCTACTACACTCAAATCATGCATCTCATAAACCTCTCTAGTTCCATAGTGTATAACGTCCGTGAGCACAACCTCACTGTACTTGGAGATCAGAGGCGGGCCACTGAAGCGATCGACGCTGGAGACCCGCGAAAGGAGAAGTACATAGACTGCCACTGACCTTAAGCTTAGGGGCTATTAGTGGATCCCAGAAATTATAATTATAAGCATGACTCGCACGTTACTGTAGAGGGGAGACACTGCATTAGAGTGTGTCAATGGATGAGAGGCAGAGTGCCACGAACGAGTAAGCCCACTCTCAGCCAAAACCCACCGAGCCCAAATCAGACAAACAATGCACACCCTAAACCCAAACCAGACACACACTCTAACTATGCCATGACAGAGAGAGCATATGAATGTTCCAGTATGCGCCGCTGACCAGTCTCATGTCTCTCAAAGAGGTTTCGGAGATGATTTGGTTGATACTGAAAATGAGTGTCTAGCATTCGGAACAGCCCCACCATATATTTTATAGAGTTAGACTCGAATCGACAGAATCTGACTTGAGCCATATTAGGATATAGAATAGTAATAGCAGATAGTTCTATGTATAACACTCTGTAACTCTTAGAATGGTGTGCTATCGAAGGATAACCCCTCTTGATAATCATAAACATGCAATCTGCTCCCTTAACCTCTTCTCGAGCCAAATTTACTAGGACCGAGCCCGGCATCTGATGAATCAACCCAGCTCGAGTGTGTGGGATGTGATACTGACAACACACCGACATCCAGTACGCTTGCGAGAAAAGTCAGGGCTATATAGATCCGACTCACCATCATTAAGCTGAGTTATCATATTGAGGACAGAATCACGTCGTACAGAAGACCGTATGAGACACATGAGCTATATATATTATATGTATAAAATGAGGTGTCTCTGTCAATCGAAGGGCGGAGACGAAGGGATACGTCACAGATCAGGGAGTAATGGCTGATCGCCGTGCACAAAGAGACTGTTAAGTAGATTCTTTAAATTGGAGATTCCTATCACTCTCCATATTATGTACTAAAATTTAATAATATTTGCAGGAAAAAAAATTACCCAAAAGAGCCTTCATCTATAAGGAAACTAATGAAAAATGCTTGAAAAACTTTGAGTTTTAACGATAAGGACAATCAATGTTGAGAAAGAACACTCTGAATGAATCGTGAGATGTTATAAAGATAACTATAGAATTGACTGGATATGCGCGCCGAGTCCACCATGATATGAACGACGGGCGGTACATGGAATCGGAATTATACACTCCTGGCGTGACAGAGATCATAATTGATTGCAATATACTCGAGTCATTCCACTTCTGTTCCGTCGTTATACGCTTCTTCTTAAAAACATCTTATTAGAGACGAACTACTTATTAGCGTTGCTATAATTTACAGTTCGCTGAATTCAAGATTAGCACTAGCAAAATATATTTAATGAACCACATACCCAACCATCGTGTCTTTCATTGAAGCTAGCCTAATCGGGTAGTCAAGACTCAGCTCTTTGTAACCATAACCGACACTAATAGGGGTGTCAAACAAGATGAAGACAAAAGGCTGGGATACCTACCAGACGACACGTAACGGGTGGAAAAGCAAGCAGGAAAGAAAAAGGTTGTATAGATACCCAACGGACACGTTAACACGTATCGATGGAGGGTAGAGTCCGCAGTTCTGTATCTATAGCGAGGAACACAGTAAGAATTAAGGGACATACCTTGATACCATGGTATCCTGAGAGTATAAGGTTGCTGATGCTCCCATGATATACAGTATATACACGCGGTTGTTGATGAATGCTATGAGCAGCGGTGTGATGAGTGATTGATAAAATACAGTGCAGATGCGTATATATTAACATCATTACCTCGATTGCTGTCGACGAGTCACTTCGTTGAGCGGCGTAAAGCGAATGCAGACGCGCACACGATATTAATGTCCCATTACCATCGGCAAATACAGAATATGCAAGTGGACGACTAATATCGCGTGATATTCACGCAAAGTCCGCTCCAGGCTCGACGTCTATTGGAGGATTATTCGAAGACTAAAGAGGTGACTCACGGCAGAATGGCTATAATTATATTACTCGATTTGTAAATTTAGTTTGTTCATCCCCTCCTATACTTATAAAAACATCTAATAGTCAGCTCCTTCGATCAACAAAAACAAAAGTCATCTGCATCCATTATATCGACCTACCAGGAACCTATCTGATCCGGGACATGACATCATGTAATCTAAATCGTCCATCCCAGTGTGTGGCGACGACTTCTTGTTTTTCATGCTTGCTTCGAGTGAAGACGTCCACACGCAAAAGATCTTCATCGTCCACTTTATTTCACGCGGTGATTCTTTTATTGGCTTTAAATTATTTTGATTAGTCAACATTTATTGGTCTTCCATGGATTTTTGTCAGGACTCAATACTAGTGACTATTCAACCCTACTTGATCCTGTCACTTCATCTTCAATATGATTTCGCATAGGCACTGGTATTTACATATTTAACTTTACTTTTTATTCTTAATTTTATTGAATAACTTGAAGAAGATTAATTATACAAAATTAACAAAAATGTGTCAAAAATAAAAATGATTGTGTGAATAAGACTATCTTTCACATAAAATGTGGTTTCTTTTACACAATCGAGCTAGAAACTTATCTCTTATACATTGAATTGGCTAATGATTTACACTCATCTTTCTGCCTTTTTCATTGACTAAGGTAAACCTAAACCTAGTGAGAAAATGTGGTAGCTATTACAATCGAACGCTAGGAATTCGTCTCCGACAATACACATATCTTTCACATAAAATGTGGTTTCTTTTACACAATCGAGCTAGAAACTTGTCTCTTATACATTGAATTGGCTAATGATTTACACTCATCTTTCTGCCTTTTTCATTGACTAAGGTAAACCTAAACCTAGTGAGAAAATGTGGTAGCTATTACAATCGAACGCTAGGAATTCGTCTCCGACAATACACATATCTGATAAAGAGAGTTCAAATTGGTTTTGCTTTTAGCAGTTTATAAAATATGTCAAATCCAACGAAATCAAACCAAACTAATTATAGTTTGATTTAGTTCAACCTAAAATTGCATATTTTTTTCATTATAAAAGTCTTACCAAACTTCTTAGATTGATTTTTATACAACGATATATTTTTGCATAGCTAAAAGTTAAATCAAAACTTCTTGGATTGGGGTGGGGTATAAATTTGTATCGAACTCGTCATTCTTGAGATTCAAATTTAAGACCTATTATTTATAAGTAAAGAGAAATATCGTTAGATCATAATATTAAATGACAACCGATTGGATGGTTTAGTTTGAACAATATTTTCATACAACGATATATTTACATTAAATTGAGATAAAATGGACAAGAATGCTCTCCGGACTCCTATTTAGGAACTTCCACCACTATCTCTGAGAGCTCATTTAAAGACTTTAAAAAAATATTCGAGTCCTTAAAAGAGTATATATTTTTTTGTATGAAAAGTTCTTATAGTGTAATCTTCAAATTAATATAAAAACTAAAATATTGAAAAATTATTATTCATGGATGAAAAAACTAAAAAAATATCTCTACCCTTAGTTTTTCAAAAATTAAAAAATTAAAAAAAAAAATAACGTGAAAAAACCAAAAATGAAAATAGAAAACTTCATTTTAATCCTTAAAAAAGATGAGTTTTAGATTATAACCATATGTAAGATTAAAATCCAATTTTAGTCCTTAGCACATTTAATCATATCATTTATTAGTGTATTTTGATGGTTTATTTTATCTTTTTATTTTTATTTTAATGTATTAATTACATTTAAATTTAATTTTTATTTCATTCATCATAA